TTATGGTGATGCAAAAAGACACTGCAGACAGTCATTCAGTTTGCTCTGGGGAGGCCATGGAGTATAATTATACCATCCTTTTGAAGAAATGTTTCATGTACATGAATATAGTTGTAAACATACTGAATCACTGTACAAACTGATGGCAACTGAACAAATAGTTTTTTGTTTTTATCATTTCTTCTCCTAAAAAGAGACTGGAAATAAGACTATTTAAATATTTGTTTAGTATTCAAATGGAATCTTTGACCACTTTTTCGTTCCTCTTGTTAACAATTTTGGTGCTTGCTGAGAGAAAGCAAAAATAACTGTTGCTCCATTTTCATTAGTTTCTTTTTTTAAGTTATTTTGGTGGTCTGATTGTTTTTTGCCAATAAATTAATTGTACAATAAAGTATGTTTGTACCATTGGAAATATACTTGATTGTTGCCTCTTTTTTCAGATTTACATAATATTTACTAAAGGTGAATGGATGACCATTTAATACACATTTGATTGTAATTTAATGGAAAAAGTCATGGTATCTGTATATTCAGAAAAAGTCTTCATGTTTTACATTTTCTAAATTATGAAATGGGTTTGAGACGAACAGGCTGATCTGTGCTGGGTATTGCATTAAGGCAGTTATACTGATATTGGTGAATATGCTGTCCAATTAGAAATTATATGATGCAATCATGTCGACAAGAACCAGGATCTCAAAGGAAAGTTTCTATCATGTTGTAGAACTGAGGCTGTTTCAGAGCGAAGGGAGGAACCACCCAGTGTCAGTGTGGTATTCCTGATGGAAGAGTGACTTCATTTAGAAACAGTGGCCTTTGCGTAGTTTGTCCACCAGAGAGCGCTGACAGGTTGATTTTAGCTCATTATGTATCTTGGGCACAATCCTCGGAAAAAACAAAACAAATCTAAGTGATCCAGATCAAGATTGTTTATGTTTCAGTATGTTTATGTGCTAAGGCATAAAGTAAGGCCTAAAAAGTCATATTATAGTAAGGCATGAAAAGTCAAAGTATAGTAAGGTATAAAAAGTCATATTATAGTAAGGTATAAAAATTCATAAAAACGTCAGCACTGTGAGTAAGCAGGACGAGGTAGACAAAAAATGATATTAAACATGAGCAACATTTATTTCAGTATTACCATATAAATATTCTATACACAATGACACTTTGTAGACTGGAGCAGGTAATGTGCAGGTTTACATCACAATAAAGTGCAAGGTTCTTCGCTCGGTGGTGGATGAAAGCAGCACAAGCGACCACATTAGGCGACGTCAAATCCACGGTGCTTGTTTTGTCATGTCAGTACATTTACATATGGCATCAGCTCAGTGGTTATCACAAACTGTATAAAAACTATTCAGTCATCTGCGTGACAAATACACAGGTATCTTTAAAGAATAAATATACATTCAGGTCAATGTAGAAAAATAACGACTAAAAAATACGTTTCTCCCCTCTGCCCGCTCCACCTTCCTTCTTTTTAATGTCTTCTTGTGTTTCAAGTCTTAATAACATCATTTGAGGATCGTGCATTCAGACATACAAAAACCATATAAGTGTGTGTGTGTGTCTTTGTGTGTGTGTCTTTGTGTGTGTGTGTGTGTGTGTGTGTGTGTGTGTAAAGGAGAGAGAGAGAGACATTAGCCCTAAAAGCTCCACAGACAAAACAACAACAAAATTATGCAACATCAGGCACTTCCATTCCCTGCAGCTTCATTATCCCACAGAGACAGTTTTGGGATCACGAAACGCTGACCCATCATCCTCAGTGTGGGATAAACAACTTATGGACCAATGGGACGCCACTGTGGTGGATTCCACAGACATGACACATCACATCAGCTCCTGTGTCCACTGGGCAGGAAGCCAGCAGGCTTACGCCACTGACCTCAGAGTTGGGCTTTTTTTTTTTTTTTAATTTGTGACATTAGTCTTTTCAGTGTTTATCCCTGAAATCCGTCTTATCAGTCTGGTTGTGGGGAAACTTTTCACTTTCAGTTAATTATTCTTAGTATTTGTCAATATTTTGCATTTTTTATATAATTATCTTAATGATTATTTACTTTTTTATTGAACCATGTGATTGTTGGAGGGGGCTGTGTCACCCCGTGTTAATGACCGTACCGCTCAGTTCCTCATGTTTTAGCCCATTAGCTACTAATGCACTTAAGCATACTGCAGGTTTTTAGATAAGCTGCCACAGGATTCAGTTTATTTCAGGTGGAGTTTGCTCAGTTGTCATGGAATTGTAGATTTTGAAGTCTCCATTTGTTTCTGACTTTAGAGTTAAGAGTTAGAAAACAAAGTTATTGCCGTTGAATAATTATTGTATCATTAATCCGTGATATCTAAATCTATTTGGACTCCTGTCATTATGATCTGTAAAGAATGGAGTTTGAAACTTAAAGTCAGAAAAGATGTGAAATGTTAGAATCTACAATGCCATGACAACTCGGCATCTATCGATGAAGATCATGTGATACGATCAAAAGCTCCAGAAACAGCTACTTGAGACTGTGATCAAGAAATGAACCTGTCCTTGATTTTCATGCCATAATGACTTGACATACCTTGAGATGTGCAATCCATCCCAGTCAACAATCACTTACTGCTTCTTTTTGAGCTCATGTTGAATAATCAAATGATAATGCAAAGCAAAGAGGGTGTTATTTGGAAACTCTCCCATGACGGAGAAAGGTTAGAGAAAAGTCTGAAAGATGATCTGAATTTTGAGTTTTCTTATTTCCTGCCTGGCAAACGTCTTGCTACCTACTAGACTCATCTCAAACCCTTGGAGGGGAACCACCGACTTTGATCACATTTCTCTCGCTGAATGATTCGATTTTTGTGGAGTTTTCCAAACAGTACTCGTTTGCATTTCATTACCACATAAGATCACCACAATTTACTTAGAAAATGAAGGCAGTTAATTGTTAATTGCTAAACTGTGATGGATTATGTATTAAAGCAAGGCTTAAATCTGCATGTCATTGGTCATTTAAGTGGAAACAGAGCTTTCCCAAAAATAACAAATTAATAAAACTTCAGTGTGTTTAATAAAAAAAAAAAATGTTTTTAATGTAAACCATTGTAATTGGTAGTTAAAGGGCTAAACAGCTAACAGAACTAAATGTACTAGTTTGGCTTTTAGTAGAGAGTTTTTTTTCGTATTCATCTTCAGAATAATCAAATTTAGGGGTAAACACTGAATCTGTGATTTTTTGGGGAAATTATCTCATTGAAAGCTTCTGAATATCGTCACAAATTATCAGGTGTTCGCAAAAACCATAATTAAAAATCAGAACTGATATATATTCGCCTTTAAACCCGCCGGTCAAACTTTACAAAGAGGCCCTTAGGATGTAAATTCAGTGCAATTCCATAATGTGTTCTGTTATCAAGTCTAGTTTTCTACTTTTGGTACAAGACTCAGTCGTCACTTGTATGGTGTGTTGTGTGTTTTCAGATGAAGAGCTGGGTGGACAGAGGAAACTACACTGTCTGTCTTTGCATTGATAGAACTGTACTGGAGGGAAGATGCATGCAGGCGGATCAAATCATCTCTCAGAGGGTTTTGAAACGCGTACAAGACTAAGCCACATGTTGTACAGTGGTAACAGTCTGTGTTTACAGGTTACAGGTACAGCACTGCATGTTAGCGTGGGACTGACGGCTATGCCCACCTCACTGTAGTTTAGAGTATGTACAATATGTTTGAGTCCAGTACTGAACGGTTAGCTTAGTGTGGAAGAAAGACAGAAACAGCGGCCATGTTTACATGCACAGAGGACTCTTCCTCTTCTTCTTCCTCTTCCTCTCACGTGATTCCTGATGTTACCTAGCTTTACTTCCCCGAATGAAAATGTTGTAACTGTCTGGACTCACAATCAGAGCTGCACAGTACATTGGTCCATATACTGAACTTCAGTGCAACTGCATGGAACTTATTATATTCATTCATTATATTCACTGAATCCCTCAGGTATGAGAGGAGATAAGAACATGAAAATGTCACGTACAAGGCTGTTAACCGTTTTAAAGGCACCCTGTGGAGATTTTGACCACTGTGCCATGGTGTAACGTTGGTGAGTGGGTTTGTGTTTCCTGCACCAGGAAAAGTAGCGATGCACTGGCGAAATCCAGGGAAGAAGATTGCAGACTCTGCACATGGATGTAAAACGATACAGGGTTCAAATTAATCAAAAAAACTCAATGCAATGCAAATGTTTTTTGAAAAAGGAAATGAGCTCAACACAATTGTCTTGAGGAAACACAAACCTTTTTGGTGAGTAACAGTGAATGTAAATGTAACTGTGTTTGTCTAGGGAAAGAAAACTCTATTGTGTACCTTTAAGACCCTTTATGTACCAGAGCAATTTAACCACTAGCAACAACTCAGAGATTCCTTAGGGAGGTGTTAGATTTCTGGCTTCAAGAACTCACTTCACAACCCTTTTTAAGGGAATTTAGTTACTCCACCATCTCACCTACCTAGTCCCCTTCTCATCTGTTTGACAATGGAAGATTCAAGGGGCTGACGCTGACCCGACTCCTGCTAACTGGAACTGATTCCTCAGCCCAAGTCTGCGCCTCCAAAATCTACTTAAATCTGGCAGCCATATATGGGCCAGAGCCGGCTCACATTTGGTCCTGCAGTGGCGGTGAGTGCATATCAGCCGCAATGAGCCTGGCAACCTGTGTCGCACATTTTGTTCTACAGGCAATAAACAGCCAAAAAGGAAATATTATTCCATCCTTTAGTATGGTGAAATAGAGTATTGCCTTCACCAGATGTTTCTGTTGGATCTCTGCTCTAATCAGCTAACTTACTCCTCTCTGTAGAGAAAATGTTCGGGCTAGTTCGAGACTGTTTTAGCTGCTAACTGAGTTATCTGTCCACGGTTTTGCATTTCCTTGGTCACCAATAGAAGCCACAAACAAACAGTTATAGGTATCTAATGCCCCTTTAATTCAAGGCAAACTCAGTCCCCATGTGTTAAAGGTGAACAGCTCGCCCTAAATGTAACATTAACTGGAGTCCGGCTTTTATCCAGGTGACTCTGTGCATGTAAACGTACCACTGACCAGACTGGAAGTAGCTTTCGAGGGGAAGAGCAGAGCGAGAGGTTGCAGAGAGGATGTGAAAACACCACTCTTGGTCCGCAATCACCATTTACACGCTGCTATTAAGCCAGTGCCTCCAGCTCCTTCCTGCAGTGCCCACCCTGCCAACCTACTCCCACTTCATGGCTTCAGACCTCCAGGCCCCAGTCTCTGAAAAAGCCCTTGGCCACTCTCGACTCTCGGAAAGTCACCGTGAGGGAGTTGAGGGTGATGTCTGTGACTGTCACCTCTCCCGCACTAATGACGGGTCTCCAGACGTCGTCCGACTTGTCCGATGCAGTGACCCCGTCTGGTACGATGGCAGAGCTCCACTCGTCTGTCTTCTCTTGTCCTGAATGAGGCAGGAACATGGAGAGAGAAAGACAGGGTAGAGTTGCAGGCAGACAGTGATTCCATCAAGCCTATCACATGTGTACTGTTATTGAGTTAACCTCCCTGCTCTGACCTGGGTATATTATCTCTGCTTTGATTCATAAATTGACAAAGGCAGATAGGATGCAATTGGCTGCAGGAACAGACGACTCTGAGTGCTTCTGAGGTGAGAGGGAGGACAGAAATCCCCCATTCTGAACCCCACATTTATTATTTTGGGGAAACTCTGAGATGTCTTAACTTTAAACGGTTGACTGACAGCTGGTTGCCACCGGATGCCATTTCACTGTCACAAAGATACACCGATATTTTTAAAGTAGAGGCTCTAGAGCAACCGTTGTCGTACCTTTACATGCACACGGAGACTTGAAATACTCTTTCATTAGTCTGTATTTTGATCCCTGCCTGGTTTGCTCTTTAATCAGCTCAGGATAGAGGATGTTTCTGGTTGCATGCCCAGTGAAAGAAGCCTGTGCGTGGCCGTGCCTATTAGGAGGTCCACAAAGAGTCAGGTAAACTGGGTCGTGATGGTGATTAGAGCCGACTGGCTGACCAAGTGACACACTTACCATTATGAATGCCTCCACTCTTCTCTGTTGTGTCCTTCTGAGCCACCTCTGTCTCCTCCTCTTCCCTATCCTCCTCATCTTCTACATTGTCCTCCTCTTCCTCCTCCTCCTCCTCTTCTCCTTCTTCTTCTTCTTCTTCTTCTTCTTCTTCTTCTTCGTCTTCCAGGCCTTCCCAGTCCTCTTGTGTTGGACTCGCAGGGTTTGAGTCAAGGCACCTGAACTGTGACCTGCTGGGTTTGCCTTTGTGATGTGCCACTTGCGATCGTGGGCCTTGCCTGCAGGCACTGTACGGCTCGTCCTCATCCTCATCCTCGTCCTCGTCCTCATCCTCATCCTCATCCTCATCTTCATCCTCATCTTCATCCTCATCCTCGTCCTCGTCCTCGTCCTCTGGGACCAGTGAGCGCGTTAGGGAGAGACGCAAGCGGGGTGAAGGCTTCTCTGGAGTCTTGTGAGCGCTGCGGAGATCCATGGTGTAGACAGTGTTCTGAATCGAGATCAGAAAGAAGAAAATGCATAAGAGTCGTCATTCGAATAACTGTGCGAGCAAGGTGGTGGCCTGTGAGGAAAATACCTGGACAGTTTCCAATACAGGAAAAGCAAAATAGAAAGAGAACTGTACACTCGAGTATGAACCACTGTGAAGTTGTGTCGTTAAGAAAAAACTCTCGTCCAAACTTTACCTGCAGAAGGACTCTTTTGGATTTTGATCCTTTCCTCCTGTGACCCAGAGCTCTGTCTCTTTGCTCTCTAGGAAAAAACGAGCACATTAATAAACACATGAAAATGTCCTTGAAATGTATGCACTGACTATTTTATGTACTAATTTCAAGCCCATTTTGAACCTAACATGTAACATGTTTCTTTTGTCTAAATGTGTTTTCATTGGGTTCATTTTCCACATGGCATAAAAACTGCATCTCATGTATATCTCATATAGCTGTAATTAATATGTTTACAATGACAATGGACCACATGACCAAATGTGTAATGTGAAAGAGGTCGCTCGTAGAGACAAACCCATGTAGAGTCATCACCTTTCTCTGCGGCTCCCCTCAGCTCTATGGAGCGTTTTAGTGTCTTTCAGCTCGTTGTTTTGGTTTTACAGCCCACAGCTTCACTCTTTACTCTTGCTCTTACAGTGTCTTTTTTGGAGGTGTTTTCAGTGAAAAAGCTCTAAAAACCCACTGCTCAGCACCAAAGCAGACAGACACAGTCAGAACCTGGCTGGTGAACATCATGGAGTATGAAAATTAGACTTACATTCATCAGGCAAATAGAAACACGACTCTGAATGAAGGCTAATCTTCTGTTGTCTTTTCTTTGTGTAAATAAGAAACTGTTTCTTAACATGTTTGCACATCAACTTACAACCAAAACGAAAAACAGTAAAGTTATTGCAGGTTTATAATCTATTTAAAATTCAGAACACATCACTTATTATTAATCCACCAGAATAATAAGAACTTTTACCTGCTTTCTGCTTACATGGATCTATTGTGAAATAGATATGCCCAGCACTCAACGACACTGTACTCTTCTCTACTGCTCTCATAATTGTAGCCAAATGTGTATCTGATCACATTTGGAGATGATTTGGAAGATCCTCCTTGCACAACTGGTGCATTTAGATGTGGATTTTATGTGTTTTTCTATATCCAATTCCAATCCAACAACCAAGGACACATGCTCCAGCTGGAGAGGGATCATGGATCTGGGTCTTGGTCTGCTGAGTCATGATCCCTTTATGATCAATATAATGTTAGAAGAAGACTGATTTATTCCTGCTCCGCTATGTGTCAAAGCTTCTGGCCTTTCCTGAACTCAGGCACATACAACATGTTGAGTGGAACCTTACTTCTCTTCGTAGGCCTGCACCAAGCGCTGGTCCAGAATGTGTTCCTCAGGTTCCCATGTGCTGTATCTGCAAGACATGAAAATAGTATACACAAGTAGAAAATGTTTCTACTTATTTCCTTCTTTCATTCATTATTGCATTTCGTCAGGTATTTGAATAAGTTCTCATACAACACCATTTAGTATATATGCTATGAAATTTTATCTTTGACCAGATGTTTTTGATGTATTTATTTTTTACAAAGGCCATGGTACTTTACTGTGCATACATATAATCTACTGTACATGTCGATGTGAATATGACGCACCTTTGCAGGTTTAATATAATCAATTCATATCTCCAAATTAAGTTTACATACTTACTTTGGAGGCCATCCTTTCCACTTGAGCAGATACTCCACATTCCCCTGTGGAGACGTAAAGTTTTAGAGCAGCATCAGCCAAGAAGAAGTTATTTCAATTAAATCATAGAGTGTACAGTGGCTTGTCCAACACACACTAAATTTAAACCATTTAAATCTATTAAATGTGGTGCTTCCCCTGGGATGTCTGTTTTGATAAAGCTTGAAGCAATGAGTTTACTGTCACTGAGTTCCATAGTAAAAGGTGTATGACGATTAATGGAGGTGCTACGATCAAAAAGTCACATCTGTGAAACTAAAGGTTGCACACCGTGGACTTTAACATGAAGTTAAAGTCAGTTAAAGTCAAAAAGTCAAACTTTAAAAGCCTGAAACAGCTGCAACCCTGATTCAGATTTCATCAAAACTTGCAGGATTAATGGTAATAATTGGCCCAATGGTGCCTGTATCATTTGTGGGATATTTCCTCTTTAGCCTTCATTACACTCAGACCAGAGAAGGTTAAAGCTCTCATCTCTACAAAAGTTTCCATTAAGCTTTCAAGTAAGTGTGTGTGTGTGTGTGTGTGTGTGTGTGTGCCCTTTTTTTTTTTAAACAATTTGCAGTGCAATCATTGTCAAAATAGAGTTACACTAACTAATATACAGTGCATTATACGACAATAGGGAAAGGAAAAAAACAAGGGCGACACTGACCAACATCTTTCATCTACTTAATATCTTTATTCCAATACGTTCTTGATCAGTAGGAAGATGTTGTCGTACCATCAGACAACATCTATAATTAACAGATAATGTAAAATGTACTGTATGTTTTCCAGATACCAGGCAAGCCTTTCAGAGTTAGTCATCCTCTGTGACATCATTCAGTAATAACTTCCAAGCTCTCAAAGGTATTCTCAGTGGGTGAGGTCACCACTTTTCCCGACTTCATGTTACTCACCCAGTTCCCCATATACAGTAAAAAGGACATGCATGCGATGTATACTGTGTGAGACTTACAGTCTAAATTAACAGCATTGCTTGCTCCCTTAACTGTGGCTGCTATAATAAATAAATATAAATGTCCAGAATTTCCATAACATGCAATATAACTAATTTAACACTCGGTGCATGTAAATATTATGCACTCATGGTATAGTTACAGGCCTTTTATATATTAGAAATGCTTTTTATAGCATCACTGGAAAGATCAGTTAAACTCAAGATGCCTCTGTGCACTAACTATCCATGAGTAGACATGTTTGAGTTGTGGGTTGGCAGATTATTGAGTACTACATGTGGTTTTGACATGAACTTATGTGTAGTAGTGAACTTTCACTTTATTCTTAGTGAATCCTAACTTCAAGCTTAATATCAAACCACTTAAACATAGTTGCTATCGACTAAATCTGCCTTGCAAACACTTATAAAGTATAAATTCAAAGTAGGTCGACCATAGTTATCTCTGAACTCCTTTTACAGTATATTTTGCCAAATTGCTGTTGGTTGCAAACACCTGACATACAGTAGTATGTCAGCGTTATGCACTTCATGTCTATATTCTCTATATTAGTGCTGAATTAATTCCAGCCTCTTACATGATCATAAAACTGGGATTTGGACTGTCAGTCAAACTAAACAAGACATTTGAAGAAAGTCACTTTTGTCTCTTGAAAATTGTGTTGAGAATTTTCGATTACACTACAAAATCAATTAATGAAACAAATGGGCAAAAGTTTTTAATTGTGTATTGCTACTTGAAAAAAAAAATGCTAATTGGCAGAAAATGCAACTAACTGGCACAATGGCTCACGTGTCCTACCTTTGTATCTGTGCTTAGTTAATTTTACTATAAAGTGCTTAAATCATTTTTTATCTACCCCTGCACATTCATGCCAGGGTGGTGAGGTTGAGGGGGGGTGGGGGGGGGGTGCTGCTAGTAAATAGGCGCCATAATTTGTAGCTACGCACTCTCTTCTGTCAACACTAACACGGTAACTTAGATCCAAACCCAATTAGCAAGCAAACAGGCCCAAACGGAGGTGTTAGGTTAACAACGTGTCCTCCTCCAGCCTGTGCAAACACCTGACATGTTAAGCTGTAGTGCAATGACAACACTCTCACGTTACATTAAAGGGACATCCTCCTCTTACCCGCCCCCTTTATACAGCCCGCAATTAGATAACCAGATTAGTCGCGCGATTCTGTTCATTTAATCTCTCAAGCTTCCATTGGCATCCAAAGTAGCATCCTCTCCTCCCGAAAATGTGTTTCCTTCAAATGCTGACAACGTCCCGCGGATACATTCAGTGAAGGTGTTGACCCGTTTACCTTTCTAACTCTTTTCTTGACGATTGATTCCACGGCAAACACTTGCTCTCCAATCGCTGACAGCTCCATCTCTGTGTGCACGCGGCCGTCCGTTGGGCTTTAACTGTCAAAGTAACGTCCTTCTTCTCCACAAACTAAGCTAACGTTAACGGGTTATCACAGCGCTCCCTCGGTGCAGTCCTCTCCTTCCCGCTTCTCCCTCAGCTGTCTTCTTTTCCTGACAGTTTTTAAGGCCCCATTTATCCGGAGAGACTTCCTTGTGCTGGATCTTTCTGTGCGTCCAGTGACTTTACAAAATCTGCGACACATCTGCACACCGCTTCGCGCGCGCCCGTCTCCCGAGAGCGCGCGCCCCTGACGATGAGTCGGCGCGCGCCACCAGCTGCCTCATCCCCCTCATCATTCATTCGGTGTATGGATCATAGACTGCGTGTAAAAATGGTATGAATAGATGAGGAAAACGGTCGTGAAGACGTGCTCACATCCAGAAACACTATGATGTAAACACACTCTGTAGGTTAAAGCCTTGAAATTTAAAATCTCACTGAGGAACAGTGGAAAGAATCGTCGGCAAATGTACTTAAAAGTATGAAAAGTAAGTATACCATATGCAGAAAATGCACCTCTGACGGACATTATTAACTATGACATTATTAGATTGGTACTACTGATGCATAAATGAAAAAATAGCATTTTATTGTTGTAGTTGAGGTTTCACTTGCTTTAACAACTTTATGTTTGATACCATAAGTCCAGTGGTTTCCTACCAAGGGCACAAGATAAATCTCAGGGGTCAAAAGAAAGTGGAGGAACAAAGTTCTGCTTCACAAATTTGTATTTGTATTTTTTTCCCTGACACTTTGCTTTTTTGTGAAATATTAGTTATATAACAACTGAAATCCGACTCGGAGCCCCAACTAGACATTGCTTTTTTGTAAGGGTTCACAAGCCAAAGAGTTTGGAAACCACTGGTTCAATCCTCTACTAGGTAACTAAGATTTTCATGTTTTTATGTAAATTCTCTATAAATGCAGTTGAGTTAAAAGTGACATGTTTTCTTCAGAAATGTGGGGAAATTGGGGTAGAAGTATGAAACAACATAATATAAAAAAACTCAAGTCAAATACAAGTACTTCAAAACTGAATCCAAGTACAGTTACTTCCCACCATCGACCAAAACAACCACCCCAACCATGCTGAGAAGAAGGATCTACTTTATAACTCAACAATGACTCTTTCAGGGCAAATAATGACCCATTTAATCACCCACACAGTAGCTTATACATAAAGTGCCATTATAAGCATTTTATTTCTATGCAAAAAAACAAAAAACAAAAACAAAACAAAAACAAAACCAAAAAAACCAAATCAACCCAGTGACAATCAGGATTCCTTAATGAGAAGGGCTGAATAGATTGTCATGGCTAAAAAAAGCAAATATCGAATGCAATTGTGAGACATTAGTTATGATGTGACTGGGTTCAAAAAAATCTCAGCAAATAAAGTGACAACCTCTCTGATGTTTCCCTGGAGGTTCACTTGGATATAACAGGACATTGAAGGTCTACAGACTGGGATGGAACTGAAGAGTTTCATTCCAAAATAACACATGCACCGTTGAAAATCAAGTGATATTATCTTTATAAAATCATACTATTTCAAACAATTGAAAATAACATAAAGTCCTTGGCTGCAAAAGTGAAAACATCATTACAGGTTAGTTAGTCTGTACACTGGTGGAGCATCGGCTGTTTCTCCTCTAAATTTATGATAAACTGGTGCTTTGGAATAAATCTCCTGAAATGGCATCAAACTGCACAGACCCTCTTAATCTTTCAGAGCAACACATATATTTTTAAATGTAAACAAGTTAAGGCCAATATTGTCATTAACAGACAATACTTGTACAGTATAAACAGTTTATCTTAAACTGATAGATCTGAAAGCTACGACAGCAGACTCTTTCATAAGGCCTATTTCACAATAATCAACCGAAACACACATCTGGTTGGACATGTGCTCACTCGCTGGCCCATCAAATTTCACTTTTCTTCCCACATTTCTTTTTTTTTTCCTAGACTCACTACCCAGGCACACTACACTCCATCCACCGTTTCTTAAACTGACAACTTCCCTTCACACAAACAACCTGCCGAAACCCCTCCTCAGACTGAAACCTTACACATTATACATCACTGCTGACTATATAAGACTTTGACTGTGTTTGGCAGGTTTGACGAGAGATGTTTAAGAGGAGGAGGAGCCCTGCATCAGCTGAGCTCCTGTGCTACAGAGGGCTGCTGTGGTGGAGATCCTTTGGACCACTGTGGAGCCAAAAGAATAATTATTTAAAATCAAAAGAATCAAGTTTAACCCTTGTGGTGTGATCTGTCTGTCTGGAGACATTTTACCACTGTGCAAGAAATTACTGTGGCTCTCATTAAGAAAGAGTAGGTGATATGGACGAACAAAATAATATTCTTTTTACACTGATATGACATTTTTGTGACAATAACGTGCTGAAAGTCCATTCACCTTGATTGTCCCGGAGCTTTTGACCGAATCTTACAGTCCTCATCAGCAGATTAACTTTACTCAGTTACCATAGAACTATATCCTGTAAAGAAAGGCTGCAACTAATGGTGATTTTCATTATTGATTAATCTGCCAGTTATTTTCTCAATTAACTGCACAGTCAATAAAACATAAGCTGGAACTAGATACTTAATTTTTTGAATGATTAACAGGTTATAAAAAAAAAATTGTTGAGTAATCTACTGCCGATCGACTAAAGGATTAATCAACAATCATTTAAGCGCTGCTGGAAAGTTTGAGCATCTACATTTCCATGACAACTGAGTCAACTCATTCCACTGACGAGCACTGTGTAATTTGATCAAAAGCTCCAGAACAAGCAAGTTAGAGGACTTTGAGTTGAGATCGTTTTGTTGATTGCTTTTTCCAAAGTAAAAACTGTGCTGTGATGCTGTAAGATTGATGCAGGCCAATTTCTGTCACTTTATATTTTGGGGAACATTTTGATAAGTTTAATTTTCTCTCTTTCTTTCCAACTTAATGATTGTTATATCATGATACAGTATAATTCTACTAAAGGACAGTAATTGTTAGTATTGCATTATTTCTTTGATAACAAGCAGACTTCATTACTTTACAGTAACCATTTGAACGTGAAAAATTAAACAAAAAAGGAAGGAATGGAAGGAAACTTAGGCAAAACCTCCACTAGAGGGAGCGCTTGGCCAGGGTGTTGCATTGCTTTGTTGCCATATAAAACTGTTGTGTCAGCACAGCCTCTGCACAGTGTAGGCTCAGTCTGTACCAGAAGTGTTTGGAAAGTGGATGAAATACAAAGTTGGCAAGAAATCACTGATTTAGACCTGTGATATGTGAAAGGGAGAAGAGAGGAAGAGTGAGATGGAGTCACACTGAGGCAAGGAAGGACACGCTTTGGTGAAAGTGAAGGACGGAGGATACAGACAGAGAGAGAGAGAGAGAGAGAGGGATTCACGACGTCCAGAAACACGAAGACACATCAGTGAACATCATGGCTAAAGCTGGGAGGGTCGCTGAAGGAGACCAGCAGATAAACACAGCATTTTTCATAAAGCCTGAACTCCCATGACTTTGGAAACTTGAACAGTAAAAAGGAAAAAACTAACAAAAAAAAATCAACGGATCAAAACCGACATTTGGAAAATAGTCAATATATATAAAACACAGAAATAGCAGAAACAGAATAATAACTTTCCATAAGTCTTAACTGTGTTGCGAGTAAAGGACTGTGATTCTTTATTCTCCCTGTAAAGTGTTTGCTTCCTTCATTGCTCTGCATCTTATCCGACAAGAGTCCAGCAATGGCCGTGTAAACAAAACCCAAAAAAGGGGGGAAAAAATACATCTGTAAGTGTGCATCCATGTGTTTGGCTGTGCACGACGCTACCTCCTCTCCTGTTCATTCTGTGATTGGCCCATTGGCCCAGAAGGAGCTGTGATTGGCTGGTTAAACCTTTAGCCATCAGACCTCCATGTTTGGCGTGCCTCCACTTCTTCTGAGACAACCAATAGGAGTTCACAATTCTTCCCTCGCAGCTGCTGGCGGAGAAACTTCCTAGGTTGTGGTAAAATGAAAAAGCAAAGAGGAAAGCCACAGAAAAAATCCAAGTGAATTAAAAAGCTTAACAACATAATTCAAAGGGCCACAATTAAAAATGAGCAGACCTGCTTTAGAGCTGCATTGATTTTTTTGGCCACTTTAGGGCTGTGGAGCAAGCAATGAAAAATTATTATGAAAGTGTTAGCAAACAAAAGCCTAATTAAATATCCAGCAGATACGTAGCAACATTAGCATTCATTTGGATTTGTATGTTTCTGTCCACCTGACAAATACAAGTTCAATATTCACTCTCCTTTTAGCTCTGTTTTGGTGTCCACCAAGTCCTGAGGGCCGGCTGCTTAATGCTCCTCTATATATTCATCAGCTTATTACTATCATTATATGTCTGCTGCTTAGTGTTGGCCAGGTAGTATAAAGTTATCAGTTATCAGAGATTTTTGCTAAAACGAAAAAACAAAACAAAACACACATTACACAGTCATTTGAAGTATTGTTGATATGAAAATATTCATTAGTGCAGCTTTAAAGCATCATAGCCTTACAGGGAAGCAAGCATACATACATGTATCTAAAGAACTCTGATGCTTCATACCGACTCTACCATAAACTGTCCTTTTTGTCTTCAGTTCCTGGCCTGAACCCGGCAGTGTCTGACAACTACAGACATTATTAAGATGCGCTTTTAAGTTCAGTTCTACATAACACAGCATCCCCAGTCTTTTCAGTTTTGCTTCCCTTTGTTTTTGTGTCACTTGTTCCCTTGTTTCACCCTTTGATTCCCAATCTGTGGGCCGGGGCCCACTGGTGGACTGGGAAGGTATTGCATGTGAGCTGACAAATCATTTGCAAAACAGTACGATTTTGGTTAAATGATGTGATTAGAAATATATACATATAGTGTTTTTAAATGTTTTAAAATGATCTTCATTGTTTTTTTCTCATATTAACGCCTATCACTGTGATAAGGCATGAACTTTTATGTTGTTGCTGCCGGACCACATTGTATACTTGTTTGGTATCTCAGTCTGATTGCAGGGAAAGGATCACAACCATGGCAAAAACTGGAGTTTCAAAATGAATAGCTGGTTAGAAACAGGAAGAATTAAATTAACAGTCAAGAGACAGACGGTGAATCAACAATTGATCTCTCCTCTGTCAAACAAAAAGAAATATTGAGCTTCCTCTGCTTTCAGCTCAGTCCTGAATGATTGATTGTTATCATTAAAATAAAAAGTGCTCTGAGAATGCGTTATTTGACCTCCGTATTGTGATGGGGTCAGATGTGGGTCGCCAACATTTAGGTGATTCCCGAGTGGGCCATGAGTTGGAAAAGGTTTGGAACCACTGTAACTGAACTGTTTTCTTCTTCAGCGTTGACAATTAGCACTTCCACATTATTAACAACTTCCTGCAGCTGCTTCATAGTAAAAAGAAACATTTCAGCAATGAAGGGATTCAATGCTTTTACTTTGAGAAAGATTACAGAGGTCTCTAACAGACTCAAACATTCAACCTGATCAATAGTTGTAAATAAATCAAATTGCTAAATGGACAGACCACATGGCCATCCTGAGACTAGTTTCAAATAAGGCACAAACCTAGTGTATTTCTCGGACACATCCTCTACATGGATACATCTATGGCCTCATTATTCTAAGCTTTATGGCCACAAAACAGTAAAACAATTAATATCGTAGCTGTCACGGTGAGCACACATGCCCTAACATAAACACACATGTCCCATCGCTCTCACCTGAGCTCATCCGGATTGCCGATTGGTTGAGGGCTACGCAGTTTGGAGTCCAAATTGTAGTAGACTCCTCCCACCTCTCTGACTCCTATCCAGTGCTGGCGTTTGAGCGGCAGCCGGAGTGGCCCCCAGCGCAGGTTGGACGGCACATTCAGAATGAAGCCTGTCACGTTGGACAGCTCGATGCTGCCAACATCCCTGGAGGTAAAAAAAAGGCAACATTTACTATTTTGTAAACTTCCCTTTTGTATCGCTAAAGGGAGATAAAGGATGAGCAGCAAGTTAAAATGTGTTTGTATATTTCGGAAAACTTTATGGGGAAATCGGTGCATCATATTGCAATTTCTTAAGTGGTAAATTTGTAGGAAATTGTGTAATCCGTACATTACTAGTGACCATTGACACTGAACCAGAATATGTTTAAAGATCATTATATACACTACAACCAGCCTTTAATTTCTGTAGGACATGAAAATAAACTCTCATACAGGGTAGGATTCACAGGGTCATTACCTGCAATAACAATCACATTGTTTTGCAATTCACAATATGTTTCAAGAAATTCTTTAGAGTATCATAATATTCCAGTAGCTAGAAATGAAAACCAACTAAAGTGGCAGATTTATTTTCGAAAAGCAGGGATTGGTCATACATTATATGTATTTACTGCACTACGAAGTGCTTTTCATTTGGCCAGTTTCTATTGACGACTGTGATGAAACAGCACGTACTATGCTGCGTGGAGCTTTCTTTAATTTGATGGATTGGATGGAAAGTTTGTGCAGCAACACGTACAAACTTTCCATCTATCAAAAGTCAAACAGCCGTTAAGCAGCTAAAGGCTGAACTTTCAGTGTTCCAAGTTTCAGTATCAAATCGTCTGCTGTGAGACTGAAACACTGAAGCTACAGCATCAGACATGTCACAAAACTGCTCCCAGAGCATCAATAACAGAACAATTATCAATCTATCAATTATTTGTCCCCTCCGTAATTGTGTGATATTTCAGCTGTGATTTTGAACATTACTCCGTAATGAAAACTGTTGCTGGAAATTCAAATTCCAAAACAGGATCACATAAATTTTGTAGTTTGTTGCATTATCAAGGTTGCTATTTGGAAGCTGATTGTAAAATCTTGGCCGTCAGAGTTTCCTGCACTGTAAATGGACACACTAGGAAGAGTTATAAGAAAAACAGTCTCAGGTTGCAGCTACATTACAAACACAACTTTGACCAAAACACAAATGTCATCTTTACTCCTCACACCTCTTTGAGAAAAATGTACAGAACTGAATGCAAGTGGCTTGTTATTTGTACTGTAAAGTTCAAGTGGTGATCTTTCAGTTCTTGGGTTCTTTTGTCTCAATCTTAGGTTGGAGTCTTGCAACATATCACCACTGAACAACAGCGAACATGTAAAAGGTTTTTATTTACAAACTATCGGTTGAATAGAGTGGCACTGTTGTTTTTGTCCCTAGATTAAGAGTAGCTCTGATTTTGTTCCTGTTTTAGTCAAGACAGACAAACAGGAATTTGGTTTTTATGATAACATTAACATTAGACTGATAAAAGCAAGTCTGTGGCTGCTGTTGTTGTCAACAGAAAAGTAAGACTGATAATGAGGGAAACAGGAATGCTGATAAAAGTGTCTCTTGGACTTTGTCAATTGATGGAACTGCTGACTAATCAAAGAGCTCATTTGAGACCCATCTGATGAGGTTGCTGAGCTGCAGAGGAGGACACAGGGAGCCTTTAGGGCATTTAAGGAACCACCTAGGACAACAGTGAAAACATACACAGCAGCTACAACATAAGCAATCACTGATAAAACTCCACTGTAACACTTAAAACATGAGAAACAGGCGGTTTCATTGCTAGCTCTACATACCTTCTTTTATCCCACCAAACTGCCTCAAAACCTCGGGTCTGCAGGGCTGCCATAATGACATTTACATCGTAGTTCCCATTTCCCAGCATGCTCTTCTTATGAGGCGTCACCAGAGTGCTGGGAGAAAGCCTGCAACAAGTTGACAAGAGAGATTATCCACAACATCTCATGTACACATGTACATACAGTATTTTGGTATGGCTTGTTGGACCAGCTCACCTCTGGTATATCTCCTGCAGGGTGTCCCGACTGAAGGCCGTCCTGTCCTGGAAGACGTTATTGAGCGCATGCAGGGCGCACAGCTCCCTCCGCTGCTTCTCATGATAAATGGCTGGAGGTGTCAGAGAGGACTGGGGAGGCGCTGGAGGGGTGAGGGAGGAACAGGAAGATGAAAGATCCTGCTGCTGCTGCTGAGAGTCCCTGGGATCCCTGCACCTCTTCTCCTCCGCTCCAACCACCACCTCCCCTCCGCCTCCTCCTCCTCCTCCTCCACCTTTCTGCTTGCTGACCTTCCAGGGCATGCAGCCCAGCTCCTGCAGGCCGCCTCGCCCTTTCCCCTTCCACTCCCCGGCTGGATACGGAGCACTTCCCATCCCTGGACGTTCACCACCGGCGCTGCCGCCACCTCCTCCAGTTCCACCACTACCTCCACAACTACTACCTTCAGGACGCTACATTGGCATCATGACAACCATTGCCATAGCAACCTCTCAGCCGCTCGGAAGAGAGGAGCTTGTGTGTCTCTGCGTATGGTCGAGAGGGAGGTGGGGGTTGCAAGGTAAATGAGACCTGTGGCTGTTTAACACAGCAACACCTGCTCTCTCTAACGGATAGATGTGAAGAACGGTAACCAGGGGGGAGGGCGCGAAAACTGAAACTCAAGATTGCCAGCAAAAAAAAAAAAAAAAAAAAAAAAAAATCCAAACAAAGATACTCCAGCTGCTCCCAAATGAAAATTACTCCTCCAACAACACCACAGTGGTGTCGTCTGTCAAATAGCCATTGGTTGGTCTCTGTGTGTTTCCACTTCCTCCATCCTCACTGTGTTTGTGTGCGTTGACAGTTCTTTCCATCCAGTCACCAAGCCTATAGCTTTGCAGTTCTTTCCATCACCAAACTGCTGACCAAGAAGCGTCACTTCCACTTGAACACATGCAACAGGAGTTAGAGTTGAGCCGAGAAAGGCGCCTGATAAACACCTGAAAGACAAGACAGAAAGAAAAAGCAGTGATCCTATTATATACTTTTGTTGTTTTGTTGTTGTTGCAATACAAACAAGTCAGCAGAGCCCAGAGTGACATCTTGAAAACTGCTTACTTAACCTGAACAGCAGCCAAACACCTTAAACAACACTTGTTGTCGCTGGTGTTGACAGATAGCTGAGATAACAATAAAAGCTGCTACAATCACCTCTTGGTCAGCAGACCCCAAAATGAGAAGAAGGTAAACATTTCCAGCAGCTTGGACTGGATAGAGGAAGCAGGCTGCTCAGTAAGCTAGCAACATATGACAACAGCCCCGTACACAACAGGACACACACATTACAGAGCTTACAGTCCATTAAGGAGGAATAGCCGCCGTTGTACTCTAAAACATTACATGTACAGATGCGATTAATCCGCGATAGTAACAGATATCTGGCGTTAGACTTCTGGCTGCTCTACGTGACTCCCGTGTCTACACCTAACACAACCATAACGGCTCCTTTACGCCTTATAACTTCGTTTTCTGTCACAGACCACTTACCCGGCCGTTTCCTGACGGCGGTAATACAGCTGGACTCCCATAAACCGGTGTGAAAGCTGAATAAACTCTCTCCTCTTTTCCCAAAGCCTGTTCAGTCCTTTGTCTTTGACACTTTTTTCCTGGTGTAGCTCTCACTCTCTTTCTCTCTCTCTCGCTCTCTCGCTTTCTCTCTCTCTCGCTCTCTCGCTGTCTGTCTCTCTCTCTCTCTCCGTCCGTGCAGACGCGGACATGCGCAGTAGAGTCAGCCTGGCTCCATATTGCTGTCACCGCCTGCGTCAGTAGGCAGTGGAGCAGTTCCTCCCTTGGGACTGCGAAAGCCTACATTTTCCACTTTATTCTCACCTGTGATAAGGTACATTTAGATTAATTAATACATAAATAACACAGCAGTGACGTACGAGTCATAAAAGGAAGTTTGATGATTTGAGGTGTTAACGTGATTTCAATTTGCTCTGAGTGCTGAATGCTTAAATCAGCTACTTTTATTTATCTTAACAATAGATAACATCACAACTTGTGTGTTAAGGGAGTCAACTTGTAGTGACAAGCTACAGATAATTATAAGTCAACTCTGCAGTTCTCATCAGCTCTGAACCATTTAAGTGTCTTTGGTTTTTACGCCCTTAACTTTAATGTTTTGTTTCACCCTCACCGCTCTCATCATTTTTTTTCTTTTTAGATGTAGCAGGCAGGTGTTTTCAGAAAGGTAAGGTTAAAAATCCACGTTGTCAGCCACTAAACAGCAGTTAGCAGCTAGCATTTAGCACCCCAAGACCAGATTTCCCTCAGGAGGGAAAACAATATGTCAATGTTGTATTTGCATTTTTTTTCCATTACCCCCAAGTGGCCGAAACAAACAGGTATGTAGTGTGAGGTAAATACTGAATTTCGGTCTTCTTTTGCAGTTTGTTCCCCCTTCTGAATGGTAAAACAACGGCTGCTAACTCACGGTGTGTAATGATAATGGTTTCTTCCATCCATCCATCTACCTTTCCATCTGTTTTGTCGCCAGGCTCAGACTTGTGGTGGCAAGAGTGCACGGAGGGAATATTAATTCTTCTTCATCCACATCCCCACCAGCTTCTTCTGGAGGATCCCTGAGTGCTCACAGGTCAGCTGGAACATAATGACTCCATTTCCATTTTAGGGTGAACTGTTCCTTAAATACTATTTTCTCTCTTTTTTCTTTTTTAGGTTATAGGTCAGACTTGGCAACAGAACAGCAGACCAGTGGATGTTACGTTTTTTTCTTTGCCTAAATTTATGCATCATCACCATCATTACCATGAGGAACTTGACTGGTCTGCTGAGGGCCTGTACTGGTTGTAAAGCGCTCTTTCTAACCATAGATTCACTTTCCTGGTGTCCTTTGTGTATCAAGTCATTAAGATCTGACCACTTACAAAATGCATTAATCCTGCAAGTGAAAAGTTAGTAAATGAAAGTGTGTTTAAACTGCACCACATTGACAGACATATTTACAGGTCTTATGTATGTCAATGCAACCTGTTACTGTTGTTCTCTGACCACAGCAACTTAACACAGTCTGTAACATCACCAATTTGAGCTCATTCATATTTAACTATTTGTTATATTTTTGGTCTAAATGCCATTTCAGAGGCTTCGGGATGAAGCGCAGAGTGCATTAAGCAGAACTGCTGAACTCTAGTCGCAATGTGACTTTGGTTTATTTTCCCTGATCATCTTTAAAGTTTGATATCTCTGATAAATTATAGAAGACAGAGGAGGGCTAAGCACTGGAGCACAGTATGAAAACATGAGGCACAGTCCCATACAAAAGAATATACAGACACTGAAGAATTACAACACACATCAAAATAGGAAAATTAAGTTAGTGTGACCATGATATCTAACCAAAAGCATCTGCAGCACATTGAAAACCAAAAGGCCACCACCAGTAGTAAATTCATTTGGACAGTGGTAAACCAGCAGACTGACAAAAATACCTCTGGCAGAGATTCATCCTTGCACTTAAAGTCAAAATTGCATGTTTAACACATGAATGAATCCTGCCTCCTTATTTTTTCACTGCCCCAGCCACAGAAACACACCAACAACATTAACTCATTCTCCCTCCGTCTCATATTTACATGTGTCCCAGTTTTCTAGCCAGTGCAGAGGCCATGTCAGTTAGCAGCTCCTCTCTCACGCCGTCCTCCCTCCTCTGCAGCTCGTGGACGAAATGCCCCCTCAGTTCCTTCGTCTCCGTCACCCGCCCCACCAGCTGCCTACGCACTGCACTTTGTGCCTCTGGGGGGCAATCTGGCCTGTTGTCCACCAGCTCAGGCCTCTGGCTGCACAGACACACAGCCCTTCTCAGATCCCCTGTGTCCACATCCAGCAGCTGGTCTACAGTCCCCCTTCGACCCAGGCGGTCTGCATGGGTGAGCACTGGGATGATGTACCCCATGACCCCTTCTCCGAACAGTTCCACGGTTGCTCGGATTGCCTGGGTAGCATCCTGGTCGATCCCCATGCTGGAGCCCGGAGCCCGGATCACCACCAGAAAGGCATGTGGTCCAGGACTGACAAGCTGAAGGCTCCGTAAAGCTTCCCTTGCTCTCCTGTTGTTTCCCAGTGAGAGCCCCACGAGATCCGGGGTGTCGATCACTGTAACCTCTCTGCCGTCCACTACTGCCCTTCGCTTGGTGCTTTCCATCAGAGGACCCACGGACGCCCTTGTCTCTGTGTTGCCCAACAAAGTGTCTGCCAGGGAGGTCCGTCCTCCACCGGTGGGCCCAAGGAGGATCAGCCTCAGGCCTGGCTTGTTGGGACTGCTGCTGTCGGAGGGGTCACTGGACAGGTCCAGTATGCTGGTTGGATTGGTCTTTGACTCCAGCGCTCCATCTCTGGATGAGCCTACGGAGGTTTTTAGATAATTATCAAGGACATTTGCAGAAAACTGTTGTTGTTTAACACCTGTGTTTTTTTCAATTATGAATCCACAATTGTTAGAATCTATGTGGCATGATAAAGTTTGTTTCTCAAACCTACAGTAACTCAAGCCGAGCTAACAGAAGAGCTGATGTCTTTAACATATTAACCAGATGGTTGTTAATCCAGAGCCAGTATTTTAAAATATTGTTTAATTAGCTGTTTCAGCTTGGATCGGATTGAGACAAAACTGAGATCATTTCAGCTGGTGTTGGCCAGATTTCCTGGCTGCAGTTAAGGTCCAAATTACTGTATCAAAAAACAACTGCAGCCTCTGGTTAAAATATCTTCCACTGGACAGAAAACACAGTGAGAGAAAAGGAGAAGAAGTTGAGTAACTGCAGAAAACTCACAAAATGCAGCAGAAGAAATTATTAAAGTGAACTGACCTGTGATGGCTTTGACCTTGGAGAGAAATGCTGTTGGAGGAGCAGATGAGAAGTCAGTAGGCTTAACTTTTAATTATCACGCAGATCTGTCTTTAATTTAGCCCTGGTCCCTTCTATATATCACTCCCTTCCACCCAAACACACCCACTCTAACTGTAAACCTCTCCTGACCTGTTTACCTTCACTATAAAAGTCAATTTGCAGCACACAGTGAAGAGTAAACAACATGCAGGCGACACTCACCTTCGATAAACCGCCACACTCGAGACAGCCATTTAAACAGGCTCTGGATTCCTGAGACACGAAACATAAAACAGAGAGGTCAGCATAAAGTGTGTCTTATATGATATATATGTTTTGTTTGTTTGTTTTTTTTTTCTTGCTTTGTACCACGCAGTGTTCCCACGAGGCGGCTCACCCAGCTCCAAAGAGCTGACAGACCTGAGGCAGAGACAACAGCACGCATTAACGTTCTGGTGATTTTGTGTCATGTCACTCGCAGACATGACAATCATATTAAGACTGTTGTTCTTATTTCAGCCGTCTCACTGACGTCGGTGACATACGATCCTAACCGAACTCACCAGTTATAGAGCAGAGGAGACGAATCGGCCATCGGATCAGAGCCGGCAGCGCTGCAGGGAAAGCAGAGTGCCATCAGTATCACAGCAGGGGTCAGGATACAGAACTGATGACAAATACTGTTTTTAATAAGGGTATTATAATAAACATCAAATTATTCAAATTATTACAGTTCCCTAATTTCATGAGTTGCAAACTATAATGCAACTATAATTTAACTGTTCACAACAACCTTACACTTAGAAATAATTTGAATTTCACATTTAGATCATATACAGCATACACATAAAGATAGAAATATTTCAATTCCTATTACATGGAAGCTTTCTCTGTGAAACTGCCCAACATTAAAAGACTGGAAGGCTGCATTTTGGACCTTTTTGTGGTTCTCTAGTGTATCTATAAATAATTCACATATTAATTTCACAACTGTGTTTTGTTTTTTTCCCACACTGAGAAAAACAAGCACATGACTCCTATTCATTTAAAAGACAATGCTGATCTAATTCTGTTTCTCCATTTCTAACAGATAAACAAAGTTTGTTGTTTTTTTTTACACCCTTTGTGAGCTCTAGTTTCCACACTCACTATCTCTGTGGAGGACAGGTCAATCAATAAGAGAAACAGTATGGCTAATACGTCACGGGATCTTTCTATCTTTACAAATGCGTGAGAGTTTTTCTGCCGCTGAGTGACTGACTCTGTGAGAATCTGTAGAGGAGATACCCCACCACAGAAAACGCTCCCATCTGGACGCTGTTGCTGCTCAGCCACCAGCCTAAACAGAGAGAGGCGGAGGGAGTAAAGCATGACATTAGTATCGCAATGTTGTTCACACAGCTTATCATGGGATTTACCTTTCCCCCAATTGTGAAACGCAGAAATGCTCTAAATCCCAGGACAACCCTATTGTTGAATGCAAGGCTTTGTGTGTGTGTGTATGTGTGCATGTATATCCTGGATTATATTCATGGTGAATGCTCAACGTTGAAATATAAAGGCTGACATCATCATCATCTCTGTGACAAAGCATTGTGGAATAGTGTTAAAAATGCATTTCTGTTAATTTTCTCAAAGTGTCAGAACTGAAAATAACAAGCTTCATTGCTTATGTTTATTTTCTTATATTTATTTTGAAAAGCTAACCCGGAAGTCAGAAAGATTTTGCTGCACAATTGATGTTTTAGACTGCACAGTCTTAAGCATAAAACTGTCCAAATCTAACATTTTGGAAAACATAAAGACAATATTATAATATGAAATAAATACAATAAGTCCCCATTTAGCATTTAGCATTATCACAGAATGGAAGCTGACACACAGGTAACCCTCTGCATATTCTCCATGAAATACTGCCGACATCTTTAATGTCTTTAATGGTACTTTTGAGGAATCTTTAAAATTCCACCTCACCCGAGTCCTCGTAGTTGTCCTTTTCACACTGACACTCCATTTCCATGCAGTTGCCAGACTTTCAGCCAGTTTCAAGGTAGCGAGAATGGGCGACAGCACTTCTGCTCACACCTTCCAATATAAAAGTTCAAAGTAACAACATTGTTTTGCAATGTTTATGTGATTGTATAAACAACTGAAAAACACTGATATCAAGATAAAATCTGTTTATTACAGTATAGAAGAAGTTGCTAGATATCTTTTTGTCCCACAGTCAAATCAGACCTTCCATAATCAGCCAGATGTACATTTTCAAAATACAGCAAAGTTTCAAGAAAAGGGTGAACTAAAAAAGAAGGGCTAGATAGCTCTATACTGTATATACAGAACAATGTAGTTTAAAGGTCTGTTTTAACCTACATCAGTGACAAAATGTTCCTGAAGCTCCATTACCTGGTGTGTGTTCCGACAGAGCGTCCCCAGGAGTGCCATCTACTTTCAGTGTGTCAAAACTTGATGTAGCTCACGTGGTCAAAGTTGTATGTGATCCCTTCTTCCTGGTGTTGTGCAGCAGCATTTGCCTGCGCAGGCCTGCCCTCAAGAGGAACTCTGCTTCTGTTTTATTGTGCTGTGTGACAACACGATGCAGTGAAGAGGTCCAGGTATGCTGATAATGCTACGGTCTTATTTTGAAAGGACACACCTTTTTCCATGCTTCAAGAAGAACTGGAAATGCCACTTAAGATATACAGAACACCGACTCGTGCAGTTACTGAAATGAAACAAGTTCGATGGAGGGATATAAAAGATTTTTGTTTTATTTATGCAAATAGAAGATTATCTACAAATGTTCTCACTAGTTATGACAGCTTCATGACCATGTTTGTATTACAGTGTATTCCAATGCACATACATTTTTATAATGTTGCAACCCACAACAATCAGACTGAAACTTCTTGATCATTAGAAATTACTTCTTTTTTTTTTTTTTTAAACATTCAAACATTAGTTATGTAATGTGAGACTGACACATGAAGCGCTGAGAAGCACGGAACAACGTTGCCTTTCGAAAAGGGATAAAGCAGCAGCAGGTTTCATCTTATCTTATCTGTCCCAAAATTCACAGGCCACAAAGTAAATTTAAAGTAAAACCCATTACTTGCCTGTGAAATAAAAAAAATAAAATTTACAAGAACGAGGAGCAGACGCACCGATCTAGAAACCAGTTAGCCTGCTCGTGAAGGCACAGAGAGTCAGATATCTTAACTCCTCATGAGCCCAGGTGGCCAATCAGAGCATCTATCAGTTCCTGCTTCTTGGTCCCAGTGGTCCGAATCCCAAAGTGTTTACAGGCCTCCTTCAGCGCAGGCACAGTCAGCTTAGCCATGGTACCGTTCTGCACATGGGCCTTCAGCTCGTCCTCTGACACCTCCACTTTGGGCTTCTTCTCAGCTCCGCCTCCGGTGTTTGCTACAAATTCAATCATGGAGGAAACATTCAGTCAAAAGGAATAATCAGATTAAAGCTTGCTTCATGTCAGTGATGACTTTGAGCTCTGACCTGTTTTGCGTTTGGCAGCTGGTTTGGTCTCGGGGTTGTAGTCGGCAGGGTAGACCAGATCTTTAAAATCCTGGACCAAAGGACCCAAACGATTGTCAATCTGGTCCACCTTTGGCACTGAGGGAGAGAAGAAGAGAGACAGGCAGAGAAAGTGTGAGATGAAGAAACAACCAATGGTGGAGGTTGAGCCACAAGAGGAACCAGGATCTCTGTCTGCATCTTACTGATGAGGTCGTCTATCTCTTCTGGAGCCATCAAATCCAGAGCCAAGGCCTCCAGGTTCCTGTAATGCTGCTGGATGACTGGGTTCTCAAAAGCATCGCTCCTGCATTGCATTACAAAGAACCAAAACACTTAAGAGAAAGAAATCAATTAAATTACCTTGTTATGAACAGAGATAATACTTGTTATTTGTAATTTTATTATCACAGTCTCTAAAAATGTGATGTTATAAATAAGTACAGCACCCCTGTTTTTCCACAAAACAACTTCTTCAGCATCTATAAGCTAAAATCTGTGTGAAGCACCGAATACATGCGGCTACCTGTATTTGAAGCGGAGTTTGGAGACGATCTCCTTCATCTTGTCCACCGATGTTTGTGAGGCGACCGGGCACTGGGGAGCATCCAGAGTCCGTATGTCGTCAGCGTACGGCAGGAAGATGACGTTGAATCCTGATACGGGTGAGAGATGACAAGTTGTCACGAAGCTACAGTAGCTACAGTGACCTAAACTAGTCAGAAGTGAGATATGAATGAGCTGAAGTTCATTAGTCAGTTTAGTCTGGGATTCTTTGGCTTAATCAAACCCAGTAAAACTCACCTGGTGGCGTAATCTGTACTTTCCCCTCATCGACCTCTTCTTTCTGAGGCACCAGGGCAACAAATCGAGGTGGGTAGTTTCGGCGGGAGATGTAACGGCACAGAGCGAACACGTTCCTCTCGCTGCACTTGGTCAACAATGCAGAGAACAGACACGCGCTGCCTGAGGAGAGGAAAAAAAAACAAAGCAGTTTACAGCTCAGGGAACACTGTAAGGCACTTCTGATTACTAGGTCCAGTAAAACGCATATATTGAGAAATCACCATTTTATCAACACATATAAAAATATTAGCACATATGTTTGAACACATATAAACAATACAGCTGCACCACTGGGGGCCTTATCTCACACTCGGAGCGAAGCGGCTCCAAACGCAATGCATGTGTCTCTGCTAGTTTCAGACTGATGCAGTTGTCATTTTCCAGTGCCCACGTTGTTCAACCAGCTGATACAGAGATCCACTGTCGTGTCTGTCTTAAAATGAGGCGTGCTCAGGGTCATAAGCAGCTGGTTCTGCATGACTCCACTGCTCCGACAGAGATCTGTTTCCTCTCCAGGGAAGTGTTCTTTCTCACTACACACACCTGGCTTTTAAAAAGGGAATAGGAGATGGCACTCTCCGAATGGTTTATGGCATGTTTCATCCAAAATGTAGAAAGTACAAAGAAGTGCGGCCATCTTGAACAAATTTGCAACCATTTTCTATTTTCTCTGCCATTAAACTGGCAAAAGCGGATTTGGACACTTGACAATTTCCTACATGAATTGGGCTTCATGTAGAAAATAGTCGGTCTGGTCTCTGAGTTATTACTACATATCAGTCTTTCATGTTGTCTACTGGTAATGTGGTTCCTCCCTGACTACAGCAATATAAGAAATAAAAAAAAACAGAGGTTATGTAATATCACAGTGTGCCATTTTCTACTGTTATATAGGTGCAGTAAAAGGTTCTACTGCCCCACGATTATGTGAATCTTTATTGATCTCCACCATATCAAGAAAATCTTTTGACATGACAAAAGCCACATCACTAAAACTTCCGACTCCAAAACTACAAAAACAAGTGAATACAGTGACTCTCAAACATCTTTCCATTAGCAAAAATGTAAACGTCATACTATTTGGAAATATCATCATAATGAGAACTGTTGTTTTCATATTTCTTCCTCTCAGATTTGAAATCAGATACAGACAGACACTCAGTACCTTTAACCTCATCCTCCTCAGGATAGAGGAAGACAGCAGGACGGATATGGTGTTGCACTTTGAGCTTCTCCATAGGTTTGAATCCAATGAGTAACAGTCCAGGGTCATAAAACTTCTTGATGGCGTCCACCTCGTCCTTCTCCATCACTATCTTCTTTCTGCCATACACCTACAGCAGACACACACCACGCACAAAGAGATAAAAGAGCACCAATGAACTCACTGAAATGTCTACTGATGGTCAACTAAATTAGAATTATATTTAATCCGGTTTTACCTGAGCTTTCTTTATCTCACTGGGCAGCAGCAGGCTGCCAGTCTGGGTGTGGAAGGTGCGGGTTTTGCTGCGGACCGGCTCGTTGGTTTCCCTGTAAAGTCTGATGGCTCCAGGTTTTCGGGCCGTCACAGCGGTTGCATAAATTCCCACAGCTACATTTATGCCCTCACCCAGACACAGCTTTAACCTAAAGATGGCAGGGAGGGAGGGATGGTGTGAGGAAGAGGAGGGAGGAAGAGTTAAGTGATTAAAAAGACACAAATATTGACCAGACAGGAGGAAGAAAACACAGATCAATAAGTTTAAAAAAAAAAAAAGGAGAACGAATGTGACAAAAAGCAGGAAGGAAGATATAAGTTTTGTCTTTCTGAAATGTAAATTAGTCAATTATCTGTACCTCGCCATGGCTCTCTTCTTCTGCTCCTTGGCCCTCACCCTCTTCTGGAGGTCCTCCAGTTTGTTACAAGGCTCCAGCTGCAAGCCCAGCTCACTCTCATCCTCTGGTGGACTTACAATGTCACAAAAGAAGAGTGACACATCGAAGCCGCCTGGTTTCATCAGGTGCATCAAATCAATGACAACACCTAAGAGAGAGGGGAAAGGGTCAGGTCAAATACAGGCCGAGTCTCTACTTGTGCTGTCATATGATTAGACAAACAGCGATTTTTCCAAGGGAAGCTTTAATCCAAAACAGTGTTACAGGTTTGCATAAAAGACCAGCAGCCTTTGCTTTTCAGACCCACCTGTCTCTTTGAGGTCGCCGGCCTTGGTGCGAGCCTGTCGGTCCTTTGTACTGTTGCCTCCGTGTGGTTCATCCCTGCAGGTGAAGATCATGAGCCTCTTGTGTGAGAGGCGAAGCTTGATGTCGCTGTACAGGTTGGCACAACACCACAGGGCGTCACCTAATGATGTCTCTCCGCTGCCCATGGTCTCTGCAGCAAGCTGGGCACCTTTCCCCCCCCGCAAAGCTTCCACATCCTGCACTCTCTTTGCTCCTGTGGAAAATAAGGAAACAGACAAGATGTACACGGGGAGACAGATGCCAAAAAACGAAATGTAAAGGGGTGTAAGAAAGAAAAATTTAGCAAGTTTTTGTGAAATAACATGTGTGGCCATGTGTTAGTTTGACAAATGTAGTGTCTTACCAGGTTCGTCCAGGTCGTGGTACACGTAGACGTGCTTGAACGAGTTCCTGGGGTTTTTGCTCTGTTCCGTGCCGAAGAAAACAAGAGCCATCAGGTCCCTGTGACTACTGATGATCTTACTGGTGTACACACTGCGCACAACCTACGTGGACAGAACACAGACAATTATTATCATGAGATCATTAAGAGTGCATATCTGAGAATAAAAATAAGAAAAATATGTAATGATCTGATTCTATTATACTCATATGCAGCAGATAGGCTTGAGGGGTTTGCAGTTTTTAAAACAATTTCAAGCAAAAAGATTCTCTTTTCCTACAAATGACTGAGAATTTTGTGATCACGATGATTTACACTTAAAAGAGCCTTTCCCCAACAACACTCTTTCAACTCATACATAATATTTTAGCAAGTTCCAGCACATTTCATGCAGTTCTTAAACATCGTTTGAAAATTGAGTCACAGTACAAGGATGACTGTTGCACCAAAAGTGATGATACACATCAAAGACAAAGCAAAAGAGACAAAGATAATTGACCATCTTACCTGCATAGTCATGTCAAAGTTGGAGGGTTGTCCATCTTCTCCTTTGATGAACATTTCCTTGGAGGCGTCGACCAAGAACACCAAACTGTCTCTCCCTGTGATTTTGTAATCTCCTAACAAAGACAGTGAGCCTGGTTTGTTTTGGGGTTACTTTAAGGGTTCAGACAGTCTTATTTCTTGATATCACATGCTATCTGATTACATATTTAAACTCCCATCACTTGTTAAATTACATTGTAATGCCACTACATGGCATCAAGTCAAAATTGGCACATACAGTTCTCTAATTAGTGAAATGCAGAGTGAAATGAAGAAAATCTGGCAAAGAAGAATAATGGCGAAAACAGAGGGATTGATGGCAGCTGATCCTGCATCATTTGCACTGCAGATTAGGTATTAAGGCAGCTTTCATCTCACCTCCAGATTGCTCTCCTTCCTCCTGCTCTTCCTCCTCATCCTCATTTCGGTAGTAAGCGTTCCACTCTGCCATTAGGACTGCTTTCGGTTCTGTCAAAGGATTCAGCAGATTCCCATAAAACCCAGAGGTTTGTTGCTGCTCAACCAGGATTTAGTAACTCTCTTAAAAGCGGTGAAGTTTACAAATAACGTTCAAGCAAAATATGTTTTGCAGAACTCAATTTTACAGGAGGTCACTTAAAGCTGCTCTGGTGGATCTGCTGCAGCTCTGTAGTCTCCTGGTGTGTTTGCAGAAAAGCTGAATGGACAGTTCATTCAAACATATAAACAGAAGCTGTATTAGGACCTAGCACTGATGCCAAGCTGCATCAAATCTTTGTTTTTAGTAGTCCTACTTCATGAGCAGTTATACCACAGGTACACTAACAGTATTAAGGTACAGAGTCAAAATGTTTGTGATATCGTCAGTATTGCCCTGACGTTGAGTGACTTCCTGTGCTCCTTCAAAACTTTACTTTAACCAAACAAAGTTAGTTACTTTAATAAGACAACAGTAATTATATTAATGATAGAGCCAATCGAAAACATAACCGATATTGAATTATTATTAATAATGTTGGATGAACTGGTGTTTCAACAGGCAACGTAATGTTAGCTAGCTTAGCTTGTAATTAGCCACTACATTTTGTAGGATTTCGAGGTCACTTAGTTAAGATCTGCATCTTTCTAATGGTGCACACAAACTATAAAGCCTAAACACATTACAAAACAACATAGATAGATAGATACTGAGCCATCGCAGCGGCATACAGTAACTTACCGTCCTCGGATCAAACTGTCCACAAGTCCAGACTAGTTTCAATGACTGGCGCGTTCAGGTGGGTGAACAAGCACACTGACAAATCGTAAGGGAGGACTCGTCGTCTATTCGACACTTGTCCGTCAATCAACGACACTGGCCAATCCTAGTGAAGTAGGCGGGATATGTGTGAGCAAAGAGGCTCGTCTCCGGAACAAGAGGTCCGCTCCACGCGACAGTAAGTTCCGTCAGATATATTATTGTTTACATTCAGATAGTGACACAGCAGGACCTGCCACAACCCGGACACCTCGGGCTATTGCTGGGAGATTTATTTTACTATTATATTTATTATTATTTATTTCACTTTAATTAGTCTGTAGCTTATATTTATATCCGTAACAGTTCAACTATTCGCTTTTTTTTTTATTAAAGTTTTATGTGCTAGCTACCGGTAAGCTAGCTAGCCGGCCAGCTGTTGGTGGATGTGAGTCAGCTAACTTTACATTAAGTTAGCAGCAGTTGTCATTTTGAAGACATTCCTTTACCATGGAGCAAACTGGCTCTTTCCCAGTGAAACTGTACATTTACGACCTGTCCAGAGGAATGGCCCGCCAGCTGAGTTCTGTCATGCTAGGTGAGTTTCTGGTGAGCTACCTGTAGGTTCACTTCATTAAAGCCGGGGTTAGTGCGCCCGGGTCCGTGAGAGAAACCAGGAGAGAGCGGGGCTGATACTCAGGCCTGAGTTACGACTGTTTTCTGCTCACTTTATAAAGGTGCCTGATACATAAATAAAGCTTCTAATTTGAATATGTTTATTTTATCTTCTCAGGGAAACATCTTGATGGGATATGGTGAGTGCAGCTTTTCATAAGGATATTTTTTTTTTCTTCTCACTGAAGGTCCTGTGAACTGTAGTCGGCTCCTTTCGTAGGCTTGGTCTTATAGAAAAACGTGTGTTTGTGTGTTACAGGCACACTGCTATTGTGGTCCATGGACAGGAGTACTTCTTTGTTGGGGAGGGCATCAACAAATGTTCACCTGTAAGTATCAGCACTGTCCTTTTTCTCGACCATAAAACACATTAAGCATTACCCTTTCACCGAGGTGTGTGTGTTGTGTGCTAGGGTGGTACTCCCTTGGGTGAGCCTGACTCCATCGTGGACCTGGGCTTCACTGAGGTTCCTGCAGAACTCTTCACTGAGTATCTGACTTCACTGGCAGAGTCGACATACAGGTAAAAGCTCAGGCTCACCTGCTACTCTCAACACAAATTTGAATCTCAGTGTGGTGATGTGGTGGATGGGTAGAGGGTCAAATGAAACATTGTTTTAGACATGTATTACACCAAAGATGTGATATAGACAATAATTATCTTTTTTTGAAAACTCTTTAAAAACATTGTCAGACATTATCATCATACCTTGTAAAATTAGGACTTAGAAAGTGAAAAAAATTAAAATGCAAATAATTGCAGGGCAAATACTTTGCTGCTCCACTAACTCTCCAAAAATACAATATACCCTACAGTGCTCCAGCATATTTTCATGCAAGCGATGGAGGGAACAAAAAGGCAACAAAAAAGAAATGAAATGCATCTCGAGCCTCACATTCCTCGGTTCTCCGTGTTATCTCTCAGTCAAAGTGTCTCTATCTTGTCTTCTCCTGCTCGTCACCCGCCCTCCTCCACCCTCTATGGCCTCTCTGTCTTTTCTCTAAATTAATGTCTCTGACTGCTCGTTTTATCTCTTCTTCCTTCTCTTGGTGCACAGAGGTGACACGTACAACTTGTTCGAGCACAACTGTAACTCTTTCAGCAACGAGGTGGCTCAGTTCTTAACAGGCAAAAAGATCCCATCGTACATTACAGACCTTCCATCGGAAGTACTATCCACGTGAGTCAATTTAATAAGCGCCATAAAGCTGCACTTACATTACCAGAGCTCTTCTTATTTTTCTCCTTTCTTATGCTGATGCTTTTCACAAAACTTGAAATCTTGAATTCCTAATGTATGATTAGTGCATAAAAATGATTATCCTTATGTTATGACGCATAACCAAAGCAAGTCCACCAAGCACATTTACATTTTTGGTGTTCATCTTTAAATGTTCTGCAAGATAAGTAGTTTGACATTTGTTTCCTGTCACATAGTTTAGGTAGATTCTGCTCAGGACATCATAGTCGTCCTAATGCATTGCTAATACAATCATCTCTTATCCCATGTACATGAAAACACAAGAAAAACAATTTTTGATCACACATTGTGTGCTTATTTTGATGTTTGGTACTTTTCTTGTGAATAGATGATCTCATAACCGCCCATAACTGCCCTCTCTTCCTGTGCGTCTCTGTATCAGTTGGATTGAGGTCTTGTTTTTGCTCAATCTTTTTATTATTTTCCTCTTTCCGTTTCCTATCTCACATACTGTAATTTGTTCAGACTTTCTTCAAGCCTTTTGATTTCAGTGTAACCATACGGTCTGCTGTGTTTCCTCTGTAGGCCATTTGGCCAGGCTCTCCGTCCCTTACTGGATTCCGTTGTCATAAATCCTGGAGGCAGCAACATAACCGGACAGCGATAGACAGGGCTCGGTATATTTTCATTTGAAGGTTTGGGTGAGAGTGGGATGTTCACCGCCGGCCACCAGTCAGACCTCATCTGTGCCTGTGACTGACACATTGATCTGTGCTGCCAGTCACATTTCCATCTCACCAACTATTCCTCGGATGCTCTTCTCGGTTCACTTTCAAGCCTGTTTCTGCACACTCTACATATCTGAACTTTTAAAGTGGGTCAGTGATGGGGACCAGGAGACTAAAATGAATAGATTGCTACTATGTGTGTGCTCTAAATCGGATGCACTTCCTGTGGTTCAACCGAATCATTATATATCCTACAGATTTGATTTTTTTAATTTGTTATTTTAAGCTGAACTCGTCCTTTGCCGCACTGGTACTGTTTCTAAATACACATCCTCATTCTTCACTAAGGTGCTTCATCATGGCAGTCTTTTAGGAAGCGTGTTAAAATTAGCTAACTAGTTCAGAAAGTGATTGATATGTATAGATATCAATATGCTTAAAATGATAACATGTTAAAAAGGACTGCAACAGTTACTTGTTAAAATGTAATTTCCTTGATATATACAGGACTTGTATATAACCAGCTCTTACCTCATTAGCCTGACTAATCCTGTCATAACTTAGCCTTATCATGCTCTTACCAAACCTTGTCTTTCGCCCTTCCTGTCGCAATATATCGATGACAGCTGACTCTTTGGGAAAGAGAGTGGAGTTTAATCCCTCTGATAAGATGCCACATCTTCCCATTGCAACACCTCCTTGTGAAAATTCTCTCCGGCTACATAGTTTTTGGTTCACTGTGCACATCTCGGGTTAAAAGTTGTGAGCCTCGCTTCATCAACGGCGGATGCTGTTAATTGCAGATTCCCAATTCTCCTGATGTTTGGGCACAGTTATGCTCCAAGCTGTATTTTAATGGCTGTTAATGGGTCTTGTGGTGTCTCCAAGGTTTTGTAATCCTCTAAATTTGTTACTTTAATAACTGAAAACAAGACCATAATGGTAAACAAGGTGCCAAATTGGGGTTAATAGTAGTTCAAGACAAATTAGCAAAAATATTCCACAGTGTCACAATGTTAAGAAATTCTTCCTGAATCTGCACCTTTGGTACCAAAAACTAGTCTCTCTTTATTTGTTATAGCCAAATTGTATTGCATACAGACATACAAGTCCAAAAATGTAATACATGAGTGATGAGCTGAGGGTCTTTTGAATGTAAATTTAGTGTGTGTGTGTGTGTGTGCTTTTCTTTTATAATGAAAAGCAGTCTAGTTCACTGCTGGTATTGGTATGGTTAATATTGCTCATTTCCCGTTTTGATTTTTTTCTCTTTTTTTTTTCCTGTGGATATTATTACTGCACTCCAAAGGGCAAGGCCACACAGTAAGTTAAAAAGGAAGGAAACAAGTCTCTCAGTAAAGTAGTTCTTTCAGCTGCTTTACCTTTGGGGAATTTGTAAAGTTTATAAAGGTAGACTGTTCAATATCCAACAATTCTGTCTGATAATATTGAAGAATTTGTACTTACGTTATGCCAACAGCCACTTAACTCCATTATCGTGTGGCCATTCGTCCCTCCTTAAGGAAAAACATGATGCCATCCAGTTTCTTTCTCAGTATATTTTAGTATTCAGGACAAAACCTTTTGTGAGTTACATTCCTGACTAGTTTCCTTTGAATTATTTTTATTTTGAATATACTTATTGCTATTATACCTACTTGAACATGCTTAAAGGGTGTCTGCAGGTCATTAACAAGTATTTAATTTAATTTTGCAAATACATGCACAAGGCCTCTATAGTCACTTATAATTCTCTTGAATATCATCGTGTAAGATCTTAATTTTTAATTAAAATATATAATTAGATTTAATTTTGTTTTTATTTATGCACTCGAGTGAACCTGTTGGGAAAAGGATTTTTCTAGATAAACTAAACTCCCTTTTAATAACCTGTCATACGATCCTGTGTAGGAGAAATTAATCGAAACTTTAACGTTATTTACACAAACATTGGTCTTTTTGTAATTTAAAGGTAAAAGTATTAAAGGGACTAAATTTACTGTGACCCTGCACTTGTTAAATGTGTGACCTTTTGAAACTTGACTCAAGTTGTGATATTAAAATATCCCTATACTGTTTCTTGTTCAACAGTATGATACTTGCAAATGAACGCCTTGATGTTTTATGTTCTCTGTTGGAAATGACATGAGTTTTTGTTTTATAAGCGATCTGCTTTTAGAATTGGTAGATACAGATTTCAGGATTCCAACTATCCCGAGTATCCTTTGAGTTAATGTAGTATCAAAAACAGCCACAAGGTGACACTACAGGTTCATTACAGCAGTGGCAGCTAGTCTGATGTCAGAATACATCAAGCCATCACATACATCTTGTATGTTTTTTACATTTCTAGTGAGTTAGTGGTTACTGGGGCGTGTTAGTTATTGTCACTGCGTCAGATCCCAGCTGGTAAAATCTTGCAGTTGTTCTGTAGTTGAGTGTTAAGGCATTTACATTCACTTATTTTAATATTTGTGCTCAATGAATCTCCTCTCAGTAGATCACTGTTGATTATAGCTGTTGTATTTTGGGCTTTATTCAATAGCATACACTGTATTTACGTTTAACAAAGAGTTGGTGAAAGTTCTCTCATCTCGATTATCTTTGAGCCATGTTGACTCATGATTTGTTTGTGAAAGTAACTTGATCCAACAAGGAACAACTGACTGCTGTCAACTTGTTATATAGTTAAAGCTGCAGGGAGTTTTGTTGAGTATTTAGTCGACCCCCAAGAGAAGCAAAGATCCTGTTTGATACAAACACGAATCAAACCAAAACCTTATATTAATTTTACAATCTTTAATATTTCATCTTCAAAAGTGGCATGAGTTACTAAACAATCCTCTGTAAAGAACATCTTGAGAACATTTTGGGTATAAATTAGTTGTAATAATAAGTACAGGTACATACAGTATATACACGTTTTTGCTACATACTGTATATCACACCAAAACACTTTGGATTTTCTTGGCTATCATATTTGTATTTGTACATTTATTATAGTTCCTTTCTTTTATATAGTCTGTCGCTTAACAGATACTGCGAAGTACTCAGAGACAACAACCTTCACAGGGCCAAAGTGGGACGAATTCCCTCCTTTCACTTGGTGCAAAGAAATAATTTTAATGAAGTTAAACAGTGACAGCCCAAAATCCTTACACAGCACTAAATATCACAATCTCCTCTCTGCATGCGCAAACGAGCTGCAGCATGCTCACAGACGTTTCACTGGAAATCAAATGCATACTCGCACAACGTCCCATTTATCAGTCACTCCTGTGTAAGTTCACGATAGAAACGTTATCACCGGTTTAGACAACCTGTCTGCTCTACGTTTGCTTTGTCCTACACTTGCAGTTAATTTGTGTCACTGCGTTTTTCCACAAATGAGAGAACTCGCTGCAAAGATTTGACATCCAGTACAGTAGGCCTACTTTAACCTCCGCTATTGCACATTAGAAAAATTGCACAACTCAGCTAATATAGATCTCTCTAAGTGTCGTGTTTTCATGTTACTAAAATCATCAACATGAAATAATAGCTTCTGTTAAACTCTGACATCAACTGCAATTATAATAAATACTCTTAAAATGACTTGGTTCATACAGCCCTTATTTAAACAAAATATATAGGAAAGTCCATTAAATAAGCATATTTACACAATATTCATAAATAAAGCAGAACACATGATTTTCAGATGATGTTTGCACTGCATAAAACTTAAAAATCACGTGTTCCAAAAAAGATTGAATGAAAAATGCACACAAGATGTCAAACATTTATCTTAAATAGATGAAAAAAGTGGCTTGTTTTTGCTACAAAGAACAGAGGGAGACGATTGTTTCAGGTGGAGAAAATACATGATTTCATACCAAGAAAAACATTGGAAGCACTTGTTCATGGCAAAGAACTAAACCCTCTATTGCTTATAAAAAAAAAAAACAAATTCTGTGCCCCCTAAACCAGCAGATCGTAACATTTTAAACTCACAACATCAAGCATTAAGAGGAAACGATACCGGCCAACGATCCTTTGCTGCGTCGGTAATGAGAATAAGTGAGCGATTACAGACGTGGTGAACTTTTGCATCAAATTATGAAAGAATGAAAAGAGGAGAAGAGATGTGTTTGGTGTCTTTATCACAGCATCCGTCACAGTGCTCTCAGTGTCATTTAATAACACGCCGTCTAGCAGAACTGGTCGTAACACGCTGTATAGATAATTAAAGTATGTTTGTTTGTGTGTGTCAGTGAATGGAGGGATAAGGGCCTCAGCCTGCAGCAAGACTCCCAGGAGACATCAGCTATCAAGATCTGGTTTTCACTTGACAGTTTGTGGTGTACAATTCGTGGCTCGGGGGGCAGGAGACAAAATATGTCACTGTTAGGTATCTGGGTGATGAGCTTATCTCTGTGGATGGTGTGTGTCTTCGGGTGTGATCACACCTTCACCATCGCTTGGTTCGGATCAAAGCTGATTTTGATTCTATTGCATTTGTTCTATTCTGTTTGTTTATATTCAAGTCGCTCGATTACAAAGGGAAATAGGGCTTATGAACAAAAATCTCATGAACTGGCAGATGCCTAGTCGTAGAATCACGTCTTCCTGCAAAGTTATCTTATTCTACTTTCTCTTATTATACTTGACGTGAATATGTCCATGGAGTTTATGACAACTCTCAAAACGGACAAGTCTAAGTACAAGTAATAGATGCTCGCAACCGACAGTGGTAATACCACGTCGGGTGTATGTCCAATTCTGCCACTTAAAAACAGAACAAAATGGGATTCATCCCGTGGACTCAAAGAGCAGCAGCAGCGGTTTAGCAGGTACGAAGTTAAGAATAGTTTTAAGTCTTTACGTGCTGCAGCTGGGGTCGTGAAAAGAACTTATATCCTTAATGAAGCTTTACTTCTTAGACACCAACCACATTAGTGCCTGAAGTTTTAAATCAGAGTATTAATCTTACTTGGATGTTTTAATCTATTATATAAATCCATCACAGAGACTTCCCCAAAGAATCTTCAGTGATTTCACCAGGATGGAATCAGAAGTTCTTTTAAAATGATATACTCTTTGTTTAAGTTTTTAATTCTTCAATAATCAGTATTTTTCATAGTTACAATAGATCAAACGACTAGGGTAAAGTCTCTGTCATGAACCCACAGAGGCTTTTCTCTCGTCTCTGCCGTGTCCCTCGGCTCTACAGAATGTTTGAGCATCTTTCAGCTCGTTGTTTTGGTTTTGGTTCAGTCTCTCCGTTCTCTTCTGCGTCGTTTTTCAGATGCAGCCGCGAAAAAGCTCAAAGTACGCTTCCTGCCCGGTACCAAAGGCCAGACGGGTAACAGGAGACCGAACCAAAACCAGAAGGAGAGTGTTTTTTTTTGGACTGTTAATTCATCAGCTGACCAGACAGGTGTCTCCAAATGAATGATAATGTTGTTTTGTATCTGCTGCATGTGTAATTAGGCAAGTGTTTGCTATTATGTTTTTAACAAAAAGTCCATAAATGCAGGCTTAAAAAGGAAGATTTTAATGTTACAGTGTTCTCACTTGTTGCCATGAGAGTCGTGGATGATGCCTCCAGATTTTGTGCGTCCTTAACATGCAACAGAAAGTCAGGGAGTTTCACCCTGCAGCGCTTGTTTCTCAGAACAACAGTACTTCTTTAACTTAAGGTTGAGTCCAGTGTTTTTCTGTGAAAATTACTCACTTTCTGCTGGTTGGGGAAAAAAAACCTTTTGCATATCAATCGCTCTTAGGGTCTGATTCATCTTCTGATGTGGGCGGAGAAGTCTCCAAAGCTGTTACCGGAATTTGATTTGCTAAAAATATGGTCTTTTTATGTGATGTCAGTGAAAGAGAGACTTGATACTTTGCTAAAGCCTGAATGTGTTTGATGCTGGTTATATTAGCTGCAAAGAGGAGGTGGTCTTGGTTAGAGCTCGTATAGCAGCGCTGTTAATATTGTATGCTACAGAACCACTTCACACTTTAACCGAATAAAAAGTATGGCGTCATAAAAATCCTCTCAGCACAAATATTATTACAGAACCTTTTGGAAGCCTTTCTGGACACGCGCAATCGTCGTCAACAGTTCACTTCATCGTGCAGTTCCTGAGGTTGTTGCAGACTTGAACCTTCACCGCCAAGTACGGCGGAAGCGTTGCATTAACTGTTGCTCGTTCGTAGCAGCAGCCGCCGCGGCGGCTCTGCACAGTGTCCTTTGCTGTCCAGCCTCCAGAGACAAAACGAGAAGTGTCTAATGCTCCAGGTCTGGAAATGCCTCGGCGAATTCCCCTGTAATGGTGCCTGAAGGTAGAAAATTACACACAGGCGTCCACACACTCTGAGTTACGACCCAGACAGTTCAGTAGTGAGAGACCCAGATCCACAGTGACTCCTACCCTTTCCTTCCCCCGAGGAAGGAAAGCACGCGTCCATGTACGTTCGTTTTTTCTATTTTTCTCTTCTCTCTCCTCCCTTTCTCTTCTTTTTCTAAAGAGTCCCAGCCTCTGGCGCCTCTGCTGTCCCTCTCTTTCCTCCTCTCCATCTCTCCGGTTGGGATGGAGGCTGATGGGAGCTGACGTGATGGTGGCATTGTCCTCACCGTTGAGTTAATGTAACCGCGGGGATGCTGTCCCTGTATGCTTGGCCTCATGGCACAGAATGCAAAGCGCTTCCATCGTGGAATGAGGGTGAGAGAGGCCGAGAGGGGACAGAAAGGAAACGAGGGAGCGAGCAGCTGTACATGGAGGTAGACTGAGAGATGCAACAGAGTAGAGGTGTTTTTACAAGAAGAACAGGTGGAAGCTTATCGAAGAACGTCTCAAAAAGGCCTGGAAATGCCTTTTTAGATGGTTTATGATTACACTGTTGGTATGTGACATAGATTGCATGGAGCTTATCTGACTTAATTACTAAATCTTTGAAATTTAATCTAAATTTTGGTGCCTTGATGAATTTTCTCTGATCCAGTTATTACAGAAGGAACAATTTTGGAATCAGCAATCTCCAATTAATCAAAAGTCTTGGTGCTGAAATTTTTTGGCTTCCAAATCCAATTTTATGCAGGAAAAAACAAAAACAAAACACCCAACCAACTGAAGCTGCGAAGGACAACCACCACTGCAGAGAATTTTAGTGCAAAAAAAAAAGATGAAAAAGCTGCATTATTAATCCAGGGTTCTCCATGGAGATACAGTATATGACCTTTAAACTTAATTTTTCTATTGAATTTCTGCTCTAATTAGCTTGCTAATGTGCCTGTTGTTACTTACAGTTGTGATTTAATCAGCGTGGCTTCAAGGAGCAGTTTGACATTTTCCAGAAAAAAAAATAAAAAATGCTTACTCACTTTCTTAAAGAGGTAGCCAAATCAGAAGATTGATAGCCTACTACTCTCATGACCGTATGCTAAATATGAAGCTACAGCCAGCGAGCGAACCTAGCTAGCATAAGGAGAGGCCAGCCTAGCTCTGTCTAAAAATAGCATACAATACAATACATAATGCTAAGCTAATTGGCTGCTAAATCGACATTTTCGTCTAACTCCCTTAAGAAAGCCTGCAAGTGTATTAACCAAAAATATTCCTTTATGTGTAGGGGGCCGTGGGTGGGTGTGAAGGGACATGTTTTTTCCCCATTGCAGTGCCTACAAAGGTGAAATAAAAGTTTGAAAAAAATAAATAAATAAATTCAGTGTACCTTCAAATTTGAGTGAATAGTTCCTGAGGTCTAAATCTTCAGCCTGTATGTGAACCACAGAAGTACAACTTAAAGGTTATGAACCACATTTACATCAGATGCAGTGAGTGACAACAGCTGCGTGTTTATACGCCGAATATCTCTTTGTTATTTTTTCAGCCCCGTGTACCAATGACCTACTGTCCCTAAGCTCAACCAGAGTTTCTTGGCTAACGCAAACGGCCAAATCTGACCTGAAACCAACATGTAAAATCCAGCTTGCTCCCTGCTTTAAGAGTTGGTGCTAGTAAAATTTTTTGTTGTTGTTTTGTTCTCCTATCCGTGTTCCTTTTTAAGGCCTGTACAACAGAACTGTGGTGGCTGAGAATCTGTGAAGGCTGTGTGACCTGTAGGAGCCTGAGAGTGGTTTTTAAGCAACCTTGATAGATTTCCTTTCTGGTAGAATCTATATACTTTGTATGATCAATGTACGAGACCCTTTGCTGGGGCCTATAATCACCTTTACTACCTGAGTCCATTCATCTGTAAGAGTGGTGGTTCTGCTACACTGTTCTCTGCTCTCCTTAATTCCACTTATTAAAACACCTCTTTTCATCTCCTCGATCTGAATGTCTCCCTGTTTTAATATTCCTCGCGTGTTGGGCCAACTGTCCCAATCTCTGGCGTTTTAACTAACACCAGAGCTTTTCGTTAGTGTGTGTAACATTGCAGCAGGCCGCTCTCTGAGGCACTGGCACTCAGACGGTCACCTCAGTCGTACTGTGGGTGGAGTAGCTCTTCTGCCTGGTGTGGTGGTAGTAGGGGGGTTGAGGTGGGTGTTGCACATGGACATGCTGCCCCTGCCCGGCCCCTCCTCCAGCTCCAGCTCCAGCTCCATACATCGCTCCATAGGGCTGGCTAAAGAGATCCGGCATGTTCTCTATGCTCTGCTGCCTCCGGGTCGAGTAGCCGTGTCTTCGGGAGGAGCCGTGCATAGAGGAGGAGCCGTGCATAGAGGAGGAGCCGTGCATAGACGAGGAGCCGTGCATAGAGGAGGAGCTGTGCCCCGGGGCGGAGATCTGCCTGTGCACGTGGCGGCCAGTTGGCTCCCACGCTTTGAAGGCCGAGCTGGAGAGGAGCGGGTGCGTGGTGGTCTTGGGGAGGCGCTGGTGCTCCAGATGGCTGGAAGGGATGGAGATGGACAGGGGGGCATGGAGGTCGTGGTGTGCTGGCAGGGGCTGGTGGATGTAGGACTTCTCTTTGGGCTGCACTGGTACAGACTGGAAAGCAGGAGGTGCCACAGGCTGGTAGTGGGAGAAGTCCATGAGCGGGAAGCTCTTGTAGTAGCTACGAGATGCACTGTCGGCTGTGAGGAAGAGAGAGGGGTGGAGACAGTTTAAAAAAATCTAGTGCCATGCATTCATCAGGACATTCATGACAAACATTCATTACGGTTTACTGTTGGAGTGGTGTGCACACAATTTCCCCTTTGCAGTGAGGGAAACAGGCACTTTGGGTATGCTAACTTTTAGTTTAGCCTCTGAATAAAAATGTTTTTGATAATATTTGGTTAAATCCGGCTGTGGCTCAGGAGGCTCAGCGGGTCGTCCACTAATCAGAGGGTCGGTGGTTTGATTCCCGGGTCCTGAAGCCCAAATTGCCCCTGATGGCTGTTCCGTCAGTGTATGGGTGCGATGGATGTATATGTCAGTGAATGTGGCAAGCTATATTTCCATTTGCACTCTTATTGACCTGATTACACTTCCTGACCATGCTACCCCTGTACCAATGTTTCCATGTTTGCAAATCTTATAATACTTTTAGTGAATACAATATCGTCATCATCACTGATGGATTCTCCTTTTAATGTAAACGTTTGCTCTGTTTGTATTCTTTAACAATTAATCCAGCAAAGCAAACACACGCTATATTTGGACTCTTTAAACTTGTTTATACTTTAGAGTCATTTTCAATTTGTCACAGTCTGATGCAGTTCTGAGTCACATGCAGAAGCAGCCTAAAATGAACTGTCAATGTGCAAACACAGAGTCTGTCATTGTAGGAACACTGACGACTGAATCACACTTAATCCACGATGCATTTATGTTAGGACCTCCGGGCTCCAACCTGTCAGCAATGTCGGCTTCATTTGCCTCTCAAAGTATTTTAGAAACTTTTAAAGGGAGGCCATGAAACTTTCAAAGGAGGAAATTACAAATGAAAACTTGACATTAGAGCTAAAATCTCCCCCTTGTTCTATTTTAATAAACTAAATTCAGTCTATCTTGGTCTGGAAGGACCAGTGGCGGTTAGCTAATGTTAGCTGTCATTATTTAGATGTTACTGAGTCACTTCCCTGACTTTTTTCTATTTATGCTATGATTACACTTTTGCTTTTATTCAGCAAAAGTTACATGATCTCACTTTAAACGCTGAATGATAACTAGAGACCATTTTGCAATGGGGATGTTATGCACAAGTACTCATTACTACATTATGACATGAATACTCTGTATGCATGGGTCAGACCGCACCCATCATCGAACTTGGCCTTTATTTTGAAAAGTATAAAACCAGCGCCTTGTGGGAAAGGTCAGTTTAAACCATTAGAAGCTCAGAAAACTAATTATATTTTTCTCTCATTACAAATATTATCGGACTATCTTGTCTAGGAAATGTGAGATTTTGGAAATAAATAACATTAACTGAGTGGTCAGAGGACATGGAGAGAGTCAGAAGAAGGCATAGGACTGTCAGGAGGAGAGGGAGAGTTTGAAGAAGATCAAAGAGGAAAGCTGGTGATTTAAGTATTTACAATTGGTGTATGCCCTCAAGGCGGATTGTAGTGGCGTTCCTCTTGTGCTGGGAGAGGGCAGAAGGCAGGTAGCGCGGTGAGGGGGGAAGAAGATGCTGAGGAGTGCAATGGAGATGATGGAGGTAACTCTATGTGTGTCAGGATGTGGAGACATAGCAGTGAGGGGTTATAAATACCCTCGCCCTGAGTCCGCTGTGTGTGTGTGTGTGTGTGTGTGTGTGTGTGTGTTGGGTGAGCATGAATGTCACAGAGGATTATTTTAATAAACGAAACACTGAGGTCATTGCTGCTAGCTTCATGGCTACATGAACAGTAACCCAAAAGTCTGAGTCCACCAATGACAGCTGCTTGTTTTCATCTAATGAATTTAATTGCCTTTTCCAAAATAATAAAAAAAAAGAGTGAGGGCAATTAATTAAATAAAATAGATCCGGCCACATGCTCGTTATTTTTCTGGCCCAACATATGCCCGGTTCTGCGGCCCAAATCCTGCCCATGTCCAACACAGAAAATCTTCCGGACTCTGCCCAGATGTGGAGGTACGTATATGGGCCGGACTCAGGCCGAGGACCCGCGCATATGTTGGGCCAGAAGTTTCATTCTGCCTCTCTGCTCTAACTTAAACGTCAAATGTTAGCGTGTCAGGTAAACGGCAGTAGCTGCTGCTGATCGTTACTTCAGAGGCTAAGGAGCATATCATTATAAAACTACATTATTTTATACTTTATTTTCTTTGTTAGGCGTCCAAACAGGGTTCTCTTTGAACAGTCTAGGAGTTTGATCTGAAATCTATACCATAAATTAAACCATCATGAAATATAATAACAATCCTTTTTTTCCCCATGTCTGCTGCATGGATTATTAACTGGAGAGGATATTGACATTTGTCTGTGACATGTAGATTCAGCCTCAGGTTTTTTTTAAACACATATGTAGAAATTCAAGCCATCGCCCAAAAAAATTCCCATGAGTCTATTATTGTAAGTGTTGTGCCATGCAAAATTGGAAAGCTTGACACATGTAGCAACAGTAACCAAAGGGGCTGTGGGGCCTAGGCCTAATGGTCAGTTACTGTTTTAGTGCCCTTCAGCAGGTCAACTCAACCCTGAAGCTAAATAGCATCGATCTGTAGAGGCCTTTGGGCAGATCCCAAGTCTGGAGTATAACCAGTGTGTAAAAACAGTTGTTCCTGCAAAAGGGCGCTCGTGCTCCATCGACGTTCCATGGATAATAAAGGTTAAATAAATCCACCTTGACAAGCAGTGATTTGCCTTCGGCACACTGGTAGAGGATTACTTTGTTCTAATGGGACGCCAGGGGTTTGGATGCAGTTGTGTGCACTATTACACTCGCTACTATGCAAGGACAACCACGTGTGTGTGACCTTTGCTGACACGAGACTGTAGTCTGTACAGTCACCTGGTTAAAAACGCCCGGCAGCCTCTTCTCCAGGCGGAAGTTACTTTGCTGTTGCATCACAAACCTCTTACAAAACTACTGTCTGGAGTCAACGAAGGTGAGATTTATTACATTCAGGAAAATTGATGATAAAGAAAGTGATCTAATAGGATAGATTTGTGTCCATTTGTGATACTTAAAACTGTCATTTCAGCCTTGTGCTGTGCTCCAGTTCACACTCAGACACTTCCTCAAAAGTGAGGAATAAATTGGGATACCAGACAGTTATGAATAATTGTCACTGTGTGCAATTACTGACTGTGACATCACTGGTTTGATGCCACATAATGGTAATTCACACATTTATTAAATGCGAAGTTTAGCACTGTGAAATTCTTTAGCAAAAAAGCTGTGTAAATGTAATGGAGACTCCAGCTCTCATTATTTTTTTAGGGAACTATAATGTGAATATTTTACACTTTTAGATATAAAATGTTGGGAAGTAAACAAATTAAATAACTAGGGGGTAATTTCAGTTTTCCAATCCTGAACACTCATTAAGATCAGGATGTATCCACCAATGGTGGCTTATGGGTAGTTTGCAAGTTCTTATGTTAGAAATAAAGACGAAAACAATATACAAACAAAACCAAGGTTGGTTAAAAATGTTTGTCCTTGAAGTTTTTAGTTTGGTGTAATTAAACTTAAAATGAAGACATAGGAGGATGGTAGGTTTAGCTTTCATAACGTCCTGCCCGAGAGCTCCCAGAGGCCGTGTTACATGAAATACATGTATCACAGAGCTCTGTCCTTGGCAGTGACCTGTGCTGTCTGGTTAGACTCTGTGAAAATACTGCTGTACAGTGATGTCGGCTCTAACGAAATCGCAGTCTGGTTGATGAATAAAACAACAAACTAACTTGACTAATTACTTTGCTGAAAAAAACGGGCTCATCTCGTGGCAGTTGAGAGCGAGTGTAAAAAAATTGTCAGACAGGAGCAGCGCGGGCTCCTCTTTAAGATCAACTTCCTGTTCGCCAAGAGGCACAGAAACCCTCATCCGCTGACAGCTCCTGTACTGCCAACCTACTGTACTTTAAAGGTCACTGTGTCAGTTGGAGTCAGTGTCATTTTGTGCGTGTGTGCGTGTGTGCGTGTGTGTGTGTGTGTGTGTGTGTGTGTGTGTGTCCGACTTACCCACAGCTTTCAGGGAGGTGTACTTGTTCAGTCCCACTGTGCTGTGGTTGCTGTGCGGGTGTGGAAGCCCTTGTCCAAACGGCCCGTAAGCGGAGTTATTCAGATGATAATTTTCTGGTGGGAGACGGGCAGAGAGAGAGAGAGGCACAGTCAGTTTTTAGAAAGTGTCACACAACAACCGTCATATTGAGGCAAAAACAATCCAGTCCAGAGTGCACAACTTGTCTTCATATAAAACCCTTTTTCAAACACGACCTTCCTTAGTGTTTTAAAGATGACATAACCGCACTGTAGTAAATGTAGTAAACCATGGCTGGATTAACCTCTTAGCGTGCTCTGGGGCAGAAATGAGCTGCAGCATTTCCTTTCGCTCTGTGCAGTCTGTAAAACACCCTGACACCTTCAAGTACGCACCGCGTTCAGTGTGTCAGCAGAGCGCATGTGGCGGCTTCGTTATAATTTCCTTACAGCCCCAGATCCAGCCAGTACTCAGAGTTTATGTTGCAGTACTACACTCTCAAAGTTTGCTGTGTGCCATTTGACACGTGGTAAATTGATTATATTATGTATTAAGTAAAAACACAAGGGCCCCTCCACAAGACGTTAAAGGTCAGTAGAAGTGAGTGAAACACAAAAAACTGCAACGGAAACGCGGCTTGAGACAAATCAACAAATAAAACAGGAAACTCACAACTTCACACAATCTCTCCATAAAGTCAGTCACGATGTCGCGCTGCAATTAAAAACAAAAAGTGCTTTCTCACCTCCTCACATCTGGCTGTGAGTTTGTTTCCTCTGCCTACTTTCAACATGAAGCGGAGGGACAAAGCTAAACTTTACGGAGCCGGTTTCACCTCAAGAAACAATTTAAACAGACTGTGTTAATTTGTTTTGTTTGTATTTTCCAGGATGATTTTTGGATTATAATACAAAACACTCACTAGTTATTTCTGTCACACACATGCACATGCGTGTTAGAGGTCAGCTAAGCTTTAGCAGGTCTGCTTTGTGTGGCTGCACCGAGGATCCCTCGGGTGGGAGTGTGTGCCGTGGGAAGTGTTCGCATAAACGCTGGATTAACAGTCAGGGTTAAAAAAAGCGTCTCTCTTTCACCCCGCGGATGGTGACTTTGGGTGAGACAGTGGCCCCAACGCTGACAGCCAGCCAGTCTCATGCCAAATGAACTGAGGTTAATGAACAATGGAACAAACTAGCCGAGAGAGTGAAGCCCTGGCTATTAGCCTTAATGAAGTCCAGTGATGCAGCCAGGGCGCTTGATGTCAGCCCCGGGGATGGAAGGACACACATGCAGTGCTCACGAATGTGCACACAGACACACCCCCGAACAACATGCTTTATAAGGTCAATTGGAAAAGAGAAATAAAATCAACTGTGTTTATTTGTTTGTGTGTTAAATTGACACTTCCTGTAACTGAATGGAACAGTAAAGCATATTGATACGCTCGCCAATGTGATTTGCCATGGACCAAGTCAAGTCCATCTGTGCGTAAGTGTGTGTGTGTGTGTGTGTGTGTGTGTGTGTGAAGCACACACAGCATGAAAGACAGAGGATTTCATCACATCTGTGACTACCAGTGCGAACAAAGAGGTGTACGCAGCGCAACTTCTGAATGCTAATCACCACACACACACGCACACACACACACACACACAGAGTGAGAGTCGTGTGGTTTAGATGACGAACACACAGAAAGGGAGAGCTGGTGAAAGAGGGAGAGAGAGAGAGGAATGGAGGATGGCAGGATGTTCTGGTGGAATAAATTAGAAAATTATGATGAAGCCAGAGGGGTGGAGAAATGTCGGGAGTTAGTCTTTACAGTAACAACATTTACACTTACTCTGAGCCTCTACCTTAATCACTGTTCTCACACACACACAGACACACACACACACAGACACACACACACACACACACACACACACACACACACACACACACACACACACACACACAATGCATATTACAACATGTGAAACATCTCACCACCTAATCAGCTTAAACTACAACACACAGCACATTGATAATTATGTACGGTATGTTGTACGGTACGGTGTGTGTGTGTGTGTGTGTGTGTGTGTGTGTGTGTGTGTGTGTGTGTGTGTGTGTGTGTGTGTGTGTGTGGCTACACGTGCACAGGAAAATCATCCAGTGTAATCCAGTGGTGTTGACCTCTCAGCATGTGCCAGATTAGAAGATTATGAGGAAAAAATCCTTTTCATACTGTCATTATCATCATCAGCGTCGTCTACTACCTTCTTCTCATCATCATCATCATCATCATCATCTTCATCGACTTTTTTCCCTCATGTGATTAGCGCAGGAAACAGAGAGACTGTCTGAGCTTCAGTCAGACTCAGATGAAGAGTCTGTTGTGACTAAAATTGGCGACTAGCAGACGGATCAGAACTGTTAGCGTAGTTAGCATCTTCTATTTGTTGATGTTGTTTGTTAGCTTGTAACTGGCAGTGACTGACACAGTGTTAGCGGCTGTGCTAATGCTAACTCTCGTTCCCTGTACTGACGAGGTTTCGGGTTTATTTTGCCAGCTTCAGTGAACTGTTTCCAGGTTAGAAGCCACCTGAGGACAATTACACATTAATTAGGAGGCTAAAAGAAGTGGCACTGAAAACTGGCCACAGTTTTAAATACTGCTTTAAAAAAAAAAAAAAGCTCAGATGGTGTCTGGTCTGTCATTAAGAATTAAGTCATAAATTATTAATAACAAAGCAATGCCATGCAGACATGAAACATTCTCTGATTAGCAGATTTCGAGATGAAAAGAAGCAGGATATATATATTTATTCTCTCTCTCATCATGTGAAATACTGAGTTAGCAATTAAATAACAAGCACAGGCTCACAGAGTGTGTGCCAGATATTTTTGACTTCCCAGTTTGTCTAGAAGCAGTTGAGTTTTAGCAGAAGCGCTAATGATGCAGAGGAAGGAGGCGAGACATTTAGACTAAAGATTCATTTTCAGGTCAGCAACTTAAGAGGAGTTTTTAGGAGGAATTAAAGGAGTTTTTGATGTGATGGGATTCCTCCCTCCCTCCCTCCCTCTCTCTCTCTCTGTCTCTCTGTCGCCTATACCATCTTCCTCCTGTTTCCACCGGCGTGCTATTGTGAGTGCTCATGACCGTGAAACACTTAGAAAAGCAGGAGCGGCGCATGTTTCTATATATGGTGTGTGTTTTGTGTATAAATGTGCACCTCCGAGTGTGTGTGTGTGAGACGATAGATAAAAGGAGCCTTAAGTGCCTCCGGGAAAGCGGTAAAGAAGGGGGGGTGCATTGCATGACGTCCGTCATCGCCAAGATGAAAGATGAAGGTCACTGTGTGTCCGTGTGAGAGAGAGAGAGAGAGAGAGAGAGCGATGATACAAACTGGTCAAACTTATTGGTTCTGCTGAATTCAGAATATCTTCAGAAATAAATGCAAATTAACCAATTTCATATTACCAGAGTATTTTCAAAAAATGCTTACTGGACAAAAGAAAAAAACAAAAATGGAATAATAGTGAAATAATACACAAAATGTACGATGGACACAATCATTGGCTGCCCTTTTGATGAATCTCAAGGCTACGAAAGATCTTGAAAGCCCCGTTTCTACAGTTCGTAATGTTATCGAGACGTTTCACAGTTATGAAACTATTAAGAAGAAACTCAAATGAAAAAACGTTGGTGCGGCTTGTGGGAAAAAAACACCATGCAAGACATCTAAAGAGCTTCAGGCCGACCTCAAGCAATATGGAGCTTCCAGCCCGCACCTTACGCCACATCCAAAACCGAGCGGGACTCCACAACTTCCATAGATAAGCCACAGTCCTGGCAGCGCATCGGTTCGTTTAAAGCGACCAAATGAAGCCCATAAGAACAAATAACAACCGAGCTACAGTAAAACACGGTGGCGGTTCTATCGTGCTGTGTGCTTTGCTCCGTCTGGGACTGGAGGCACTGAATGTTTCAAAGGAATGATGAAATCGGAAGATTAACGAGGCATTTTAGAGCAAAATGTGTCAGAAAACAAGGTCTTCGGTCTTTCGGCGGGACAACGGCAGGAAACTCACATCCAGAAGCACGAAACAATGACTGTTTTAAACTGGCCAACAATGAGTCCTGACCTAAATCCCATTTAAAAACCTTTGGAGGACGCATAGCGGTGGAAGAGGAACCACCAGCAGACGGGTGCAAGAAGCTTCTAGATGTTCAGTTCAGAGGCTGTTATTGTTGCTAAAGGTTCTGCAACCAAATATTAATGAAGGATGCCAATAACGGTGTCCGTGGCACATTTTCTTATTTGTGTTATCGGACTATTATGCAAGTTTTGTTTATTGGACCTTGGATATTTTATTAATATATTCTCTTTACACAAAATTGGTTCATTTGCATTTACTTCTTAAGATATTCTGAATCGTGTACTTGAAATTCAGGGCTGCCAATAAATTTTAACCAGGACTGTAAGAGCCGAGAATAAAGCGAGCGAGCAGAGCACGCACCACGTCAGTCATCAGTGAGATCATATGTTAATAGTCTCCGTGCATCACCGTTTGTAGTCGGAGCAGACGCAAACACAACCACAAAATCATAATCCTCACGCTGTTTTGCGATCTGCTGAATTGGTCACACACAGGCCTTTTGTCAGAGTGATCAAGATGACACGAGCAGGGCAGCGCACATTCACACCGAGATCATTAATTTACAAGAATAAGTCGTTTGCGTCTCACAGCCGCAGGGGAAGAACAGCCGAGAGTGCAGGAAGACATTTTGGAGGAGACGAGCGCTCAAAAGGAAAAACTCTTGGTTAAAACAGACACAGAGAGATGTGGAAAAAGAAAAGGTAAAATGTGTGTTAGGAAGAGTGATTTGTTACTGGGTCGTGCTACTTCTGCAGTTGATAAATAGGTCATACTTTTTGCTTCAAGCTCTCGCTCTGAGAGTCATGTTTGTTGGAGACTTTTAGACCAAATATTTGCCTCCTGCCCTCAGCTGACATCAGCTGCTGATGGCTCATGTAAATCCTAAAAAAAAAAGGTCTTTGACTTTAATGATTTGTGACTTTTTTTTGACATTTGTAGCTTTTAAAGTCGCAGTGAAACAGAAGTTAGATCATCGCCGCTGTCATGAAACGTTTTACTGTGATACGCCGCTGCTGTTTACTCACTACCTGACTGTCCGGAGCGATTACACATGATGGGCAGGGTCGTCAACACAAATCACATTTGATTGGATACATTCATGTTTCCGCTACCGGCTTCAACATGAGCCAAAAATATAAATAATAATAAAAAGTTTTACAGAAAAAGCAAAGAGAGGGATTTTGATTCAAACAAATATTCTGCATGTAACAAGAGATGAATAAATACTCAACACTTGACCACAGGATTAGAACATGGAAATGTGTGTTTAAGGAAAGTTTACACCACTTTGTTCCACTGTAACAAGAACAGGATGCTAACATTAGCTCACATTAGCTCACATTAGCTCACCATGAGCGATGGGTCATATCAAATCAGCCAAGGCTGTTGCAGCAAAACTGACTGTATTCAATAAATCAACTCTTGTGTTTTTGTTGTAATGAATTCAACTTTGACTTTGTAACAGGAAGATCTTTGTTGTTTTCTTCTTTCAAAAGTTACATTATCTCGCTTTAAACTGGATGTGAGCCGTAGAGAAAACGGCAGCAGGCCCTCAGTTCAGATGTGTTCAGTTGCTCTGTAGGTATTACTTTTTCCAGAGGCCACTGTCTGCCATCTTGTCTCCAATGGAAAAACCGATACTGTTCATCTGTTTTCCTCACTAGGCAATCTATTTATTGTTCCACTTTGTCCTGTGACTCAGTGAGGGAACATTGCATTTTGTATTCACCTACTGTTAAATTCACAGTCCTTTAAAAAATACAAATAGAGCAAACAGATTCCTGCAACTCCTTCTGAGATCTCACGGGAGTTTTGTAGGGTGAACAGAGGATGAGGATCTAGGACAGACGGAGGTGACTCATGATTTTGAAGCACTGACGTGTCGACCCTCAAATGTCAACCTCTGAGTTTGCTTAAAACCATGTTATGACCAAAGAGGATGCATTTGCAGACAGCCTTTAGCTGACGTGTCACCAGAGAGTCTTCGGGCAAAGTTCTCATTTGAAACTTTACTTTTTCCTTCTTAAATAACACCTGTCATATTGTACTGATGTGATATGATGAACATTTTTGTTTTGTTTCATCGGCTCAAAGCTGCCCGCTGGACAATGTTTATTTATTTATTTTGCTGTCTCTGTTTATTGCCAACAAAAAGCCAGTGGACACTTTCCAACTCTGGGAAGAAGCAGATGTAATGTGCATAAATATGCAACACATTACCATCAATAGGTATCATCATCATCAACTCTGCCAAATCCCCTGATTTTCACTGCTGTCACTTCACATTAAGAAGCGGACTCTCACGTCTTACACCAACATTTACTTATAGTTTTTTTTAAATTTTTTTATTCAATCAACAGATTTTGCCACATGCTGTTTCATTTGCAACATCCAGTAGCTTTAGGATCGTCAAGCAGTCGGCGGCTCTCAGCAGTAGGAGGATTTACAGGGTTGAAAAATCAAGCCAACACACAATCGCCAAAAACTGCAGTTCTTCAAACGGCCACTTGAGGCTTTTTTTTTTTATATAACTCACCCGTTTAAATGTTTTTAAGGCTTAGAGTTATGCATAATTGAGGGCGTGGTCTCTTCGAGTGACAGGTGGGCGGCGTCATAGTCACCTAGCTGCTCGGTGTCTAGCCGTTAGCTCTCTGCTAGGCGACACCTCAGCTGAACGTGACCTCTTCCCTGTGACTACAAAGTTGTTGTAATTACATGTTGCATGTTCTTATGGTTATATTCAAAAGTTTATTAGCTGGCTTGTTAATGTTAACCACTGGTAAGCCTCGACAGGGCTAAGCTAACGTTAAAATATTGGCTGTTTGCGCGTCTCTTTCTCTGTTTCTACTCAGAACATATGACATGTAGGTGTGGAGGCTTTTTGGAGACACTGAAATGAACTGGGTTGAGTTACAAAAATAAATTATTCACTAATTTAACTAAATTCTTTTGCTGTTTAGTGGGATCGACTGAAACCTGTCCATTAATATGTATGATTTGAGGTTCTGTCGTATCTGTACATTACCCACCAACTACTTGTTTTGCCCTGTGAAGTGACTCGCTTTAACTCCCGTCTTTTCTTCTCTCCATCGTAGCTAGATGGATTTCTTGTGCACTTTTTCTCCCTGTACTTGAGGCTCTTTGGCCACGAGCAAAATTTACTCAAGACAAAATAAACTGGCTGCTACCGAACATCTGTTTTAATGTTAGTTCCAGCTGATAAATCTGTTGCCAATTGTATATGATCCACCACGTACAGTACGTCCTATCAAGTCATTAGCACGGTGTGAAATTCTACATAGAGAGGTATGAGAGATGGACGCTGTAGGCGGCCTCACATATCAAACACTCCACGCATCTCCCTCCCTCCCTCCCTCTCTCTCTCTCACACACACACACACACACACACACACTTGCATCAAGGCACACACCAACGCATACTAATCCATGCACACATAGACATGTATGTACAGTCAGTTGCGTTTTTGTCCTGCTGTCACATACTTGGTCTAAAACTGCGTCGTCCAGGCTGCTGTATCTGGACGTATAGGAAACTTATGTAAAACGGCACATGCCGCATGTTGGGTTGCAGCCTGCCTACATTAACATACTAATTAAACAGTGTATGTGTGTCTGTGTGGTGCGCCAGCGTTGTGCACATGCAACAAGCGTGTGTTCTACTTACAGATGAAGATTATCTAGTGTTCACTCTCTTACGTGTAACAGACATAAAATTTAAAATGCTCTGCACTTTGTTCTGCATCGAGTCCGACTCTTTTCACTGCATTTGTCACCAGCTGATTTTCAGTGGGTGTTTTCCTGATTTTAATCTCACTGCAGAGCGTCTGATTTCACGAGATTAGTGACACTAAATAAAAGTTCGTGTCCGCGGAAGCTGATTAAAAACTCTGACTTGACACTTTTTTTTTTTGTGTGTGTGTCTTCCTCTCTCCGTTAGGGTGTCATGTGATCATTTCATTTTAAAAATAATACACTGCAGTACAAGCACCGGGGTTGTATATTAATCGCCAACATCTGCCGACAGTGTTCAGGTTAATAAAAAAGACGACTTGAACCAAACCGATCGACTGTGACTGATAGCTGAAATATCTAAGCAGAGAGATGAAAGAAGACTCTCTCCTCTCTCTCAACTCTATGAAGGCTGCAACCTTGAACAAAAAGAAACAAAAAACAGACACATAAGAGGAACCTCAAACGAGAGATCATCATGTGAGATGAAGTGTAAGTGAGTGTGTGTGGGTTAGAGGTGAAGCAGGAGGGAGGTCTGTGAGTGACGAGACTGGAAGAGCTCGGGCTGTTTCTTGTTTTCCAAAGGGAAGAAAAGGAAAGGGAGGAGGTTTTTGTCTCTTCTGCCATCTGCCTTTTACTCTGTGTTTAAAGTGTGTGTGATTCAGTACAGTACAGGTGTGGTGCACCTGTGCAGGTGTGGTGCACCTGGACTGAGAACAGACCCAAAGCTATGGATTGTTTGTGCCTGTTTGGCTTCATGTGACGTAAGGAAACATGGCGTCAATTCACTCGTCTCTAATTTATTGGGAAACTCTGGAAATTACAGCAATAAGTTGCCAGCCACCCAAAAATGTTAAAGATTTAATTTTTGAATGTTTCAAACATACTTTGACTTTATGTGCAAATCCTGTATTAGACTGGCCACTTGTTCTACAGCCCCACGACTCTGCAGCAGATAAGTGTCAATGTACAACTCCTCTTTTGTTTGAATAAAAACAGATGTAAACTGGGCAGAATACAAACTACACACACACACACACACACACACACACAGTTTCATGTGCAAATCAGCTCTTACATCAGCACATAAAGAACATTTTCTAGCACTGTCAGTATACTGCATGCTGTTCTGAATTTATCTGTATCTGTGTATTGTGTGTATTGTGTGTAGTGTGTGTGTGTGTGTGTGTGTGTGTGTGCATGTCTCAGCACGTCTCTCTCAGTACTCACCACTCCTGCTGCGCAGCATCCTGGCCGAGATGCCATTGGCTCTCCCTCTGCTGGGTGAACTGGCCGTGGCGTTCTCCACCGAGCTCACCTCACCTCCCTGCTGCTTCAGCAGGTCCGTCAGTGTCCTGGAGACGAACACACACTGGCTGTAAATAATTTCTCAGCTTGTAATTAGATCTCCAGCGATAAACAGGTTAAAGTTACACATTTATATATATATTTTCTTTTAAAAAAAAAAAAGAGAGAAAGAGGGGGAAGCAACACTGTTAACGACAGGTGCTCGACTTGAAGCGAAATGTAAAGGGATAAAAAAACATTTTGTTTATACAGTTTCATATTGTCTGTTCAAATTGTGAAACACAAAAACCGTCTGTCCTCATTCAACCAATCAGAGAGCTGAGATCTGACGTGATAATGACAAAACTGAAGTTCAAACTGAAACTCAAGCCAAATAAGAGCTTAGTGTTTAAAATGATGATTAACAGAAAACAAAACAAAAAAAAAAGAAAAATTAGGCCTGACAATTTCTGAAAAGACGAACAGGAAGACCCGAAGCCACAAAAGAAAAACATAATGTTTCCCATCCTGCAACTTGGAAATGAATAAAAAGTGATGAGATAAACTGTTCTCATTAGAGAAGCTGCACAGCGAGATTCTAAAACTCTTACAGTCGGTCAGTGAATGAGACAAACACCATCTGTTATCCTCACAGATGTGGTTTGATTCTCCCCCTGAGAGGGCTTTCCCCAACAGCTGGAAGCCCTGCTCTCACACACACACACACACACACACACACACATGCAGGAGGGACTCTTCACTGTGTTGAAGTTGTTTGTGAATCTATTTACATTTTTTCGTGTGTGTGTTGTATAATTCTAAATCTGGACATTATTGTGCAGATGTGCGGAAACTGTTATGGGCTATACAGTATGACTTGTACAGTATATATATATAATTTAATATTTATTTGTTTGATATTGATGTGTGATATTATATTTTTGTCTTGGGTTACACCAGCCACAACGCCCGTCAACATATTGATCTTCAGACCCCCTGACTATCCAGTAGTTATTACTGTGTTATTACATGACCGCTCAGTACTCATGGGTCGGACCAAAGGTGGAGTTTAGTCTTTATCTTTGCTTAGGGCAGGAACCATGAGTCTCTATTAGCTACTAGTATAACACACCCAAAGCCTGAACTGACTGAACTGTCAGCGGTCCCGTTGCATTGTGGGTAATGTAGATTCCAGGGTTAGACCAGTGGACTATTCCTCTGAGAGACCTCAAACAGAAAAACATCACTTCGATAGATACAAACAGAAACGAACACTGGATGTGCACGGACGCTTAAAACTCACGATTAACCCCGAGCATTGTACAGCAGAAAAATTACATCAAGCACAAAAATTAAAATCCTGCATCTAAAAAGAAAACCCACCCGATATACAATTCTGATGACGCATGTTATAAACTAGTTGCCTTATTCCGTGCCTTTTCGGAGCCGTCCTATCTCACTGATCGCCGCATTGCCCCGAACGGCTGAGCAGTAGCCGACCTGACTGCCAATTAAGGCTCGGGTTAACTCTTCCATATGCAAACGACTGACTGACTAAATGTTGAATCATTCACGCAGCGCTACTGATCTTTTCTGTCCATGATAAAAGATCATCTGACTGAAAACCTAGAAGAAGAAGAATGTGCAAATCAGGTCTGGGGGGTGTTACCATGAAGGCGTAATCCTAACAGCAGCGACCCGGGTTTGAGTCCAACCTGTGGCTCTTTGTCCCAAGTCATCCTCTCTCTCTTAAGGCAAATCAGGCAAAAATTACTTAAAACGAAAAAAGTGAGTGTCACCTGGAAACACTTCCGTTGTGTTATGGGACTGAATTTGCGGCGTGTTTGTGTATTTGCATGTGTTTTCTTAAGCTGCCGTGCGTTGAGCTCTCAGGGCCACCAGTTGTGTGTTGTAAAGATTGCTAGGCGGCAGTTGCTCACAGGCGGACAGACTGTCTCATTTCGGTTCAGCCTTGGTGGCGGCTACAAAGACGTGCCCTTCATCCTCCAAAGGATGCGGCGGCAGCTTGTGTGTTCACACTGGTTTTGTGTGACAGTGTGTCCTTAGGGATGAATTCCAGTCAGCTGTATGTGACCGGGGGCCTTTTTGGCTGCACGATGTATGGGCAAGATTTCCTGCAATATGGTCGTGTTTGGACTCCGGGCTTGTTGTGTTGTGGTTGCAAAGAAATGCAAAGGAATGTGAAGATACTGCACACGCTCACACATTCATGTCCCCTCCTTCTACTAGGAGCTTTACTACCAACTGAAGATAAACACTAAACGACCACCCCTATGTGGCTTCCCTGTCTCTCACACACACACACACACACACACACACACACACGCACACACGGGCATACTCATCACTTTGAATAAACACTTTTCCCTCTCCCCGTGCATCTGCTGAATTTACAGTGTCGATGGTATTCACTCCCTTGATCAATAATTCAAACACTGGTGCCTGTGTTCCCGCTAACGAAGCTCATGTGTTTAGCCCCCGTTGCCTCACACACACACACACACACATGCACACATGCACAGGTGCACAAAACACACACGAGGATATGACCGACCTGACAGCAACAGCCGGGGGCAACTTGTTCACACTCAACCTGCCAAATAGAAAAGCGAGTCCCTTTGGCTGCTTCTCTGATCATCTATAAACTATCCGTAGGTGTGATAATGTGTGTGAATAACAGGGTCACAGATGCCAAGAAGTGGCTCCTGCAGGGACTTTGTTGATGGCGTTGATGCTGTTTTGGTGCCGGATGTGATTAACCTGTTTGTTTTATCATCCACACGTATCGCATGTAGACAGATGGTACACGCGCTTACAGTTTGTGCACGTTTTTACATGCATGACCTTTTGTGTTTTCGACTCCTAAGACGTATTACCTGAAAAGAACAATCCTCCCTTATAACATTATGAGTCTGCGAGCTGCAGACTGTGCATCCCGGATCCTATTTTTGGGGATGCTAAAAAAAAAATTAAAAAAAGCATCCTGGGAAATGTAGGAATGTATGTCAAAGGAAGGTCAACACCACAAAGATGAATTAAAACAAAGATAAAACCCAAGAAAATTCGTACGTTAATGAGTTTCCTGCAGTGCTGAATTTCCCCCTTGAAACCTTGAAACTGCTCGAGTTTCTCTCTATTTATAGGATCTGATTTTGTAACAGAAAATAATATTCATTCATTCAAATCAATTCAGATCTTAATCATCTTATTGAGAATCCTTTTATGTACACTGTGCATGGTGTGTGTCTTTGTGAAATTGTGTATTAGATTATGACGTGAAATTGGTCCCCCCATCTGAACATTTGCATCACACAACAAAAAGACTTTCAACGCGTCCTGATCTTTCTTCTTCTTCTTCTTCTGTAAAGACTTAAATCACTTTCTCCTTTCCTCTTCCCTCAGTTGTCAATTCTCTTTCTGTTCAGTCTTCTCATTCTTTCTCTCTCTGCCCCCTCCTCACCTAAACGCAGCCCTAAATCTGTCTCTTTCTCTTCGCCCTCCTCTTTAAACCATACCGTTTGTCTTCTTCTCCTACAGTCTCTCTCTCTCTCTCTCTCCGCTCCTCATCCCCACTCTGACTCATTGCCGTGCAGCGCCTCGGGCCTCCACGCACTCTTCTCTTGGCTCGCCGCTCAAACAACTTGCTGATTTGGACTTTTAATCTGCAACAAAAACTGCACCTGTCTCCGGGCTATGTAGTGTTTATGGAGCGTTGGCTGAGCTCCGTGAGAGTTTCTGCGGATGCTTTTGAAAGAGTGAAGATGGCCGTGCGGCTGGTTAAAAGATTAAGACTTGCAGGGTGGGGTAGATTGACAGAAATAGACTGTGGTGGGTGGAAATAATTAAATCCAAATCAGTGGTATTAGGAATGAACAGGTGCAGATTTGTTCATAAAAATGCTGCCTGAATCAGTTCATACACTGCTAGTGCCTAATCTTTGTCTCCCTGTTCTTGTTTTGCTGCATTTTTAGTTCCACATTTCATCAAGTTTCACCAACAGGCAAAACACCCACACGAGTCGGTCCCCGCTCTTCCAGTTCTGCAAAACTGGCATCACTGAGTCCAGGTTTAAACCACAGACTGTAAGTAAAGATGAACGTAGCCTCGGTGACATCACCCACAGGTTTACTGAAGAGCGGTTTTGAAGCTGCTCTGCCGTCGACATCTTGGCAGTGCCTGACTCCGCCCCTAACTTCCGGCTAATCCACAATCCACAAATCGTCAAAGAGGGGAGGGCGAGTGTGGAGCTGAGACTTCGGTGCATGTCACCTGTCAATGAACGCGGCCATGCCCTCAATTATGCATAACTTTAAGCCTTTAAATGTGAGTTATATAAAAAAAAAAAGGGGGGGAAATTAGGTGTAAAACTGAACCATTTAAAATGTCAGTACACTTTATCGGCACAGTTGCGTCACCAAAATGATTTAAAAAAACGTGTTTTTGTCATTTTACTTTAGGTTAAAACCTCTGCTCCATACAGGTCACCATACTTGCTCACTTCTGCTCATGTTTTCGGGCCACGTCTCCACCTACAGCAAGAACTTTATATTCAGTGAGCACAATCCAACAACAGCAGTTGAAAATGCTGCGAAAAAGGTTCTGGCATGTCTCCCCCAAATACAACAAAGGAGACAGTTATAGCACATCAGAAAAAAATAAGCTTGTTCCTGACGTCACATCTTTCAAACCCCCCCCCCGCCCAAAAAAAAATTATTATCCCATCAATGTGCAGCTGTTGTCAAATTTAGACACAACAACTGAGGGATGTCTTTGATATGGAGCCCTTAGATTTGCATGAATGTGTGTTTGGTCCTGCAGGACTTTATGGACTTGTAATTGCAAGAATTAACGCAGGTTCCCACTCTGCCGGACGGGATGGAAATGTTCCCCTTCTTAACATTATCTGTCTAATAATGCCAGAACCCCAGGTCGAGTCGAAGCTCAGCAGACTGACTTCCACTTCCACTGGACCTTGTTGCACTGAACTGAGCTCCTCAGGCAGCGTCCACTCTGAGACTAACTAATGTGGAAATGTTTGGATAATTGAGCTGCAGCAGGAATAGGAAATCATAGCTATTTTT